TGCTGTCTTTTTGTTCTTCAGTCTAGTTGTGGAGGACGTTGCTTCACTGGCCCAAGTTGGCACCATCATTGCGCTCTTCCCGGGTGAGGCAGATCAGTTGCCGGCTTCTGGACGGCCGCTCACGGAGGCTGCTGTCCGCTCACGCTGGCTGCTGGCTACACACGGTAGCCCATGGCAACCCACTGCAGCAGGGGCTGCAGCCTACGCCGTCGCTGGCGCCTCAAGGCAGCCCAGCTCTAGGTTGAGCATCTTAGCTGTAGAGGGCAGTGTCACTGGCCCTCATATGTGGGATCCAAACGGGGGCCCTCTGGCATCCCAAGCCAGCTCTTAACCAATATGCCACTCGGCCGGCCCAATAACAAAAAATTTTTAAAGATATACGATGAGATATCTCGTTTCCCACCTCTGTGCCCCTCTCCCTCTCCTCGTCCCCTGACCCCATGCACACCCATCTGTGTGCACACACACTCACAATTAACCACTACTAGCTCCTGGTGAATTCTTCCGGGCTACCTTAATGCACACTGGCAAACAGAAAATGTGTTTTCCACTTTCCCTTATCTGATGGCAGCACCCCACAAACTGTTCTGCAGGGTGCTTTTCTCCCCTGAGCACTTTCTGTTGGAAGCAATGTCCACATCAGGACAAAGAGGACTGCCTCATCCTCTTTACAGCTGCGTAGGACTCCATTGTTTGGGGCACTGCAGTTATGTCCCTGGTGTCTCCTGACGGGCATTCGGGGAGTTTCCAACAATTTGCTGCTGCAATCAGAGCAACTAGCCTGGTACCTGCGTCATTCTGCGTGGATGTTAAAGTGTGGATAAGACACATTCCTGGAAGAGGGATGGCTGGTTCACAGGTTTGCGCAGTTGTCAGCCTGACTGCTATTGCTGAATGGCCCTGCAGAGGGGCTGTGCAAAATTACACTCCCAGAGCTGTGAGTGACAGTCCCTGGCGGCCACCAGACTCATCATACAGTGTTGTCACCCACTTGAGTTTTGGACAGTCTAGGGAGCCACACTCCCTTTCTGCAGACCTTTTGAACTTAACTGGCCAAATATCTCCCCTGGGGCCTCTCCCTTCTCATCCACCTTCCCTGTCTGGGAAGTTTCCCCCCTCCCATCCCCCCCTTAGGGTCTTGTAGGTGGCTCAGGGAATTCTCTTCCCTCACACCCTGCCTTGGGGCCAGCCTCCTCTCCTTCCACAACACAGCCCTCATGACAATGTCATCTCTTCCCCAGGCAACCCCAGGACCCCTTACATGGTCTCCTGGCTTCCTCACTGCCCCCCATTCTCTATGCAGCAGCCGGAAGGTTCTTTCCAAGTCATGTAATATATTCCACCAGCGCCAAATTGCCTTGAAACCTTCCAATGCTTTTCCTTTATAGCTGAAATGTACCCCAACTAAGGCCCTCGGACCCCTGCCCTCTGCTGTGGGACCCACAGCTTTTTTAGGGGCTCTAGCTCCACTCCCTGCCTTCACCACCCCAGCCCCCTGAGGAACCCTTCCCAGTTGCCCCACCCCCACCCCTCGCCCAGGCTGTTTCCTCTCCTGGGCACCTCCTTCTAGTCTGGGGTCCCCAACCAATTGTCTCCTCCTCAGTGAGCACCCCCAGGGCCACAGCTAAAGCTGCCTGCCGCCCAGTAACTCTACTGCTTCACCTCTACCCCATCACACCCGTGTACTTGGACGTGAACTGTTAGATTACTTACTCCCTGCTTCTTACGGAGCCCCAGGAAGGTCAGCTCTCCTCACTGCCCCTCCCCCAGCAGAGATGGTGGGGAAGGTTGGGGGCCCCATCAATGAGTGTCCTATGATTGACAGGAGCCTGGGGGGATGGGTAGGAAAGGGGGCTGGGGGCCCCCATGTCCAGGACAGCAGGTGGCCACAGAGCCCTGCTCAGGCTCTCCCCTCTGTCCCCAGTGCCCGATGACTCACTCCTCCACTCTGGGCAAATCCTTCCCTGAATGGGATTTTCCTGCAGCCATGGGGTGGTGTCCTGGATTGGTGACTAGGGCAGGACCTTGCTCTCCTTCCCCCTTCTTCCGGGGCAGGAATGGCCGGAACTGCTCAGGCACCGCCCGCACCCTTTTCCGCCCCTCCCTGAGTCGGCCCCTGGGGAGCAAAGTGAGCCGACCCCTAGGGAGCTTGGTGGGCTCGGTGGGCACTGGCAGGCCCAGGGAGAGGCAACCAGGCCCCGGGATTCCCATTGTCGCCCGCTGGGGGGCTGGCCACTTTCTGGCCTAAATCCACCCCCTCGGGTCCGTTCCTGTCCGCTCCTATTGATTTAAAACTTCCCCCGGCCCTTGGCTTCGATGGCCTCCCTGCGCGGCTAGGCGGTACCATGGGAACAGGGGTGGGTATTGTGCCTCCCTTCCCGGCCCCTCCTCGGTGGAACCCAGGGAGAAGTGGGCTGGAAACCGAGGGCAGGGGCCTCCGCACCCCTGTGAGGCTCCAACAGCCCAGGACCCCACACAGGGGCCACGTGGACCAGGGGCCAGCCCAACCGAGGGGCGCCCTTGAGAAGGGTCCCCTCCCGCCTTGCTCCTCACTGCGACAAGGGCTCCATTCCCATCCCCATTGGCCCCATAAATGGAACTCACCAGAAAGGGCTTCCCCTCTCCCCTCCGGCCCCCTCTGTCCCTGGCACACTTCCAGGCCTTTCCCGCAGGACCCCAGACTCCTTTGCTCACCCACCCCCTTGGGGCCTGTGGAATCAATTGGTCAAGGTACCCCTTTCCCTCCCCTGAGACTCTGCCCTTCCCCAGATCCTAGGTCCAGATGGTGGTGCTGAGGAGAGCCCCTCCCTGGTGAGCTGGGGCCGACTCTGTCCAGACCTTGGGGCTCCTCCAATTCACAGCTGCAGCTTTCAAGGCCAATTCCAGAAATACAAGAATAAGTTCCCACTGGGCCCTATGCATGGAGTTGAAACGACTATCTGGAGCCCCCCCACCCTAGGTCATCCTCAGTAAAGCACTGTAGGAGGTCTGACAGGTTCATGAACCCCTATTTACAGCTGAGGAAATTGAGGCACAGATGGTAAAAGGACTGACCCTACCCCACAGACAGGCCCTTACAAAGCTCATGCTCAGAGGTGAGAAGGGGACAGGTCGCGCTGTGGGGCTGGACCCACTGGAGATTTGACACAGAGCCAGGGCAGGTCTGTCCAGACCCCGAGAGCCTGAGAAAGCCACTGATGCCCCACCCCTGCTCCCCAAATAAATCATTCGACAGCCACTTCTGAAATCAGCTTTATATCAAATTATAAAAACCCAGATCCTGTCCTGAGTACACAAATACAAAAGCAGTACTATAAAAAATAATATTAATAACTCCTACAAATGTACAAAGGCCTTTGTGCATCATTTACATGGGCCAGTTCCTGGCCAAGTACCTGGAAAGAGGGGGACAAACCCAAGAGAGCTGGCCCTGACCCTGGTGGCACCCTCAGAGGCACAAGTGAGGTGTCATGCCTAAATCTGAACCGCCCCATCTCGTGCTGAGAGGGCCTTTGGGGTAGGCAGAGGCCTACGAGGGTAACTGAACCCATGTCTCCCTGAGGTAGGACAAGGTGCCCTACAGAGCAGGGGATGGATGGAGACCATGGTAGGCAAAGTCACGGCCTCCCAAAGATGCCCAGGCCCTAATCCCTGGAACCCGTGACTATGTTAGGTTCCCTGGAGAAGGGGGGTGAAGTTTGCAGGTAGAATTAAGGTCGCTAATCAGCTGACCGTATAATAGGGAGAGGGTCCTGGATGATCTGGGTGGGCCAGAGGTAATCACAAAGGTCCTTAAAAGTGGAAGAGGGAGGCAGGAGAGAAGTGCTGCGATGTGACAAGGATTCCACCCGCCATTGCTGGCTTTGAAAGGGAAGGCAGCCATGAGCCACGAAATATGGCTGGGCGGCTTCTAAAAACTGGGAAAGGCCAGGGAATTCTCCCCTGGAGCCTCTGGAAGGAATGCAGCCTGCCGACACCTTGATTTTGGCCCTCGGTGTCAGACTGCTGGCCTCCAGGACTGAAAGATAAGTCTTATTTTAAGCTTCTAAGTTTGTGGAAATTTGTTATAGCAATAGTAGGGAACTAATACAGAGGCCAAGGGGTCAGAGGTCAAGCATGCCCTGCCCAGACCTCAGCCCAACTTCCCACTGGAGGACCCATGGAGGCACCACTAGGCCTGGCCTACACAGGGCTCCTCCCCGTCAGGGCGTGCCCGTGGGAAATCAGACAGGGGTCAGAGTCTGAGTTGCAGGGCTCATGGGGCAATCTGGAGGAGTGGCTGTGATGCTGGCTCTGCCCCCAGCTTGCTGTATGACCCCATTTGCCTCTTTCCAGGCCCCAGATAAGAGTTCACCTTTCCCTTCTCTCTTCTCTAGCTCTGCCTTCAATTCCACAGATTTGCTGAGCCCCGCTCATTGCTGCCCTGGGTAGAAGGAGGCAGGGTAGGTCACGCTTAGCCCACAGCCCTAGGCAGCTGGGAAGCCACTCAGACCTGGCCATGAGGAGGGCAGTTCTGAGGCAGACTGGGAAGGGCTCCACAGACAGGAGGTGACCCGGGATCTCTGACCCCTAGCCACTCGCCCTCCGTCAGTGCACACACGATCAACTGTCATTTCTCAGGTGTGGTCTCTGCTCCGCATAATGGGTGCTCCCACCCCAGCAGACGGGGGTGGGGGGGCCTGTCCAATTCCAGCTGCCCAGGCGCCTGCACCTTGGCCAGGGCTAAGCAGAGGCAGGAGCAGGCAGGGAGCCCATGAGGGGCTGTGAAGCCGGCGCTGGTCTGAATTGCCTCCAAGTGGGATGTGTCCAGTGCTTGCCAGGTGTTCACAAGCAGGTCAGGCCGCAGGAAAAGCTAACCAACCTTTATAAGTGAAAATAGGGACTTGGTGGGCTTGTGGACCCCTGTGTTGACATCCAGGATGCTCCGGATGCTCTTGACTTCACTGTTGGACAGGTTCCCCTTGATGGCCAAGATGGCGCTCAGGTGGCCTTTGCTGGCAGGGAAAGCATCTCGTCAGTGCAGCTCTGTCACCAACACCCCTGCTCATACCACTCCCAGATCTCCAGACTCATGACCTGAGCCAGAGCGCCCTGTGGCCAAGCCCCCGCCCCCAGGGCCTCGCTCTCCATCTCCCACTGCGCTCCAGCAGCACTGGCTACCTGTCCGTCCCTAGAGTGCACCAAGCTCCTGACCACCTCAGGCCTTTGCACTGGCTGTTCCTCCTAGAATGCTCTTCCCTACACTCTCGAGATGGCCAGCTCCTTTTCATCCTTTAGGTCTCAGCTAAAATGTCACCTTCCCCAAAAGGCTTTCCCATCTCTAAAGTCAGCACCTCCTGTTGGTTAAATAATCTTTACAACTTGGAATTGTATTTCTTGGCTTCATTACCTCATTATTGTTAACCCTCAGTAGACTATAAGCTCCATTAGGGAGAACTGAGACCTGGCCTCTCTTGTGCTTCATTGCATCCTGGTGCCTAGAACCGAGACTGGCACCTAGCCGACCACTCAGTAATTGCTGGTGGGATGGATGGATGGATGGATGGATGGATGGATGATGGGTGAGTGGGTGGGTGGGTGGGTGGATGGATAGATGGATGGGTGGTAGATGACGGATGGGTGAATGGATGAATAAGTGGGTGGATGCATGGATGGGTAGATGAATGAGTGGGTAGATGTGTAGACAGGGGGATGGGTAGGTGAGTAGTTAGGTAGATAGCTAGATGTATGGTTAGATGAGCAGATGGGGAGATGCTTGCTTGTATGGATGGGTGGATAAATGGGTGAATGTGTAGGTAAGTGGGTGGGTAGGCGACGGGAGCAGTGGATCAGTCAGGGGCTAGACTAGGCCACGCTGTCAATCCAACTCAAGCCCCATTCAAACTTTCTCTGCCATGTCAGAGGACTCAGCTCAGAGAAACCATTCCCCTGGCTCACCAAATCCTCAGGCAGCCAGAGGCTAAGCCTCCACTCTGGAACAGGCCCCCAGGGCCCAGAAATAGAGGTCCAAGCCCCAGAGGGTCCTGGTGCTGAGTGATGGACCCCAGCTTTAGTACTGACTTGCCATGACCTCTAGCAAGCCCCTGGTCTCTCTGGTCTGTTTCCCCTCTGAGGGGCAGATCATAAAGGCTAAGAGTGTGGGCTGTGGAGCCAGACCTCCTGGCTTTGTCATCTTAGTTCTACCACTAACTAGCTGTGTCACCTTGGACACTCCCCTTACGCCCTCATCTCTAGGCCTCATCTAGAAAACGGGGATGAAAAGTGTCAGCCTCACAGAGTAGTAGCGAGGATCAAATGAATGAGTTGAGACCCTCGCATGGTGGTGGGCACACAATCACCACTCAGCAAAGGTAAGCTGCCAGGACTGCATCACCGTGGCTGGTACCCGAGCTTCACTCACTCCAAAGGGGCTGACTGCAGTCCCTCCAGGCTCCAACCACCACCCAGGTCCTGTGGTGCCCTGTTCTCACCTGAAGTCAGGGTACGAGGTGGCATAAGTGGCCACCTCGATTTTGATGGCACTGGGGTCTTGCAGGCGAATGATCTCAGCGAGCGTGGGGAGGGCTTGATGCAGCCAGGTCCCCGGGGAGCCCTGCAAGACAGGCCTGGTTAGAGGGAGGCTGCCCCTTCTCCAGAAAGGCACCGCGGGCCCAGAAAGGTGCAAGTCGGAACCGATGGAGTTTGGAGAGGCGCAGAGGGCAGGGGCTGCCGGGACTCACGTTCTGAGTGCAGAAGCACTGGATGACGTTGGCGTTGGCCAGGATGTGCCCTGCCAGTTGCTGCTGCTGCTCCGCTGACTTGAGGACCAGGCGCCGCTTGCTGAGCCGGATGATGTACTCCTTCACCAGGTGCAGGTGTACAAGCTCCATGAGCTCCTGCGAGGGCCAGTGGGCAGGGTCGTGTGAGCTAGCTGCTGATGGGGAGCTCACTACCTCCCTCAAAGCCTCAAAGCCAGGAGTCCAGGGAGGGGCAGATGCCAGAGCAAAGGACTGCATTCGATTGCAAGCGCACTGTGCATGTGTTTGTTGGGTGGGGGTGTGTGTGTCAGGATCAGCCACCAGCCCAGCACCTCACCTCCCGAAAACAATCGTGCAGTTCCGAGAACTCAGGAAGTCTTATGCCCACGGTGGTGATGATTTCCTCCAGGGTCTGCTCAGGGGCTGCCCAGCGGGTCTGCGTGAACCTCTTGAACAGCGGCTGTGACAGGAGAGAGGCAGGATATCTGGTCACGTCCTGCAGAGGAAGGACTGCCAACAGCAGACACGCACATGCAGACATGCACACTGACACGTGACGCAGCCCAGAGGTGCGGGGGACTCAAGGATTCCCAGGGAACCCCGGCAGAACTCAGGTTCCTGTTCACAGACAGGGAGTGGAAGCGGGGTCTATGTACCCTTCTCCAAGGTCAACCAGCTGTGGTTCCTCCAGAGCCCAGACAGCCAGCAGTTTGCCTGTCCTGAGGCCTTTTCCACCGCCCCCTCTTAAATAAATAAATTCCTGCATAAACAAGACCTTGTGCTTGACTGCTGCCAAGTCATCCAGGGTCACTGCTCTGGCCTGCACCACCAGCAAGCCACCCATAGCCTTCCACCCTGGGCCCTGGGGACAAGGTGGGCCCCCATGGAAGGCATGCAGGAAACCCCTCCTGTTTCTTTCCAGGGCCCCCTGCCTCACCCTCTGCTAAAGTAACTAAGGGGTGTCTTGGCCCACAGCAGATGTGACGGGGGCTGCCAAAGGCTCTGAGCATCACAGCTGGAAGTTGGACATGGGGACAGGCGGGGTGGGGGAGGTAAAGTGTGTGCAAGCTTGGGGACTGGGCTGAGTCTAAATAACGAAGGGATACTGAAGCTTTTCTGTACCCTTCGGCCCTGGGCGGCCCCTTTGAGGCCATACCCCAGGCTCAAGTGGTGGGGGGGCAAGGTCAAGAGGCCTCCATGGCCCCCCGATCTGGGCAGCACCAGCCTCTCTACAGTCAGCCCACATCGCGCCGCCTACGTGCTCTGCCATCGCCCCCCACCCCCAGCACCCTCCTGGCCTCTCCTCATGCCTTCCCCCACCCAGCACTAGGCTCAGCGTGCTCCGCAGGGAAGGAGACCCCAGCTACCTTCAGGTCCCTGAACAGGTTCTGGAGCAGGGCGTCAAAGCCATGACTCTTGAGCTCACTCAGGGGGCGCAGGAGGTCCTGTGGTGCCTGCCACTTCTGCTCCATGGATGTCCTGAAATGACATGGAGGCAGGAAGGTCACTCCAGCCCACAGCCAGTGGAGCCAGTGAGCCGGAAGCAAATCTTCCTAAACTACCTCGTCACTCAAGAACCCTCAGTGGCTCCTCAATCCCTGTGGGAACAAGTCCATCCCATCCGGACCCTGGCAGGGCCCAGTCTGCGCACCCCCAACATACACCCACACCACATCCTCCTCTATCAGGGCTCAAAGCTCAGCCTCTCCACACTCTGTGCTCCTCTGCTAAATGCCCATCATCAGGGTGCCTGCTTCAGAGGGGCGTTCTAAGGATAAAATAACGAGGAAATCATCTGCACCAGTGCTTGACCCACCGGCACATGACAAACGTTTCCTGCTCGTTTGTTTCCCCATATTAATCCCACATCTGTGCTTGAGCAGCTCCCCGACTCCCTCCCCCATCCAGCTGCGTACTCCCCACCCCCCACTAGGCTACCCTTTCCCTCCAGCAGGCAGGCAGATCCAGTGCTTCCCGCTCCCACAAGCCCTCCCAGCGCCCTCCCAGCGCCCTCACCGGAAGGACAGGCAGTTGTTGATGTTGGCGATGACATTGGCCCTGTAATTTCTCAGCTGTTTGCACCGCTCCAGAAATTCATCAAAGGCGCGCTGGTAGCTGGGGAAACCCGAAGGGGCATTTGCAGGGGCAGCACAAACATTGGGACAACCCTCCAGGGGTTTACAGAGCTTTTCCGCCTGATGGGTCCCCAAGGCCCAGGCAGCCCAGGGTGGGCCACCAGCCAGTAAGCACGTTGAGGCCAGTGGGGCAGGGCCCTACGGAGCTCCTGAAGGGGGTGCTAGCCTGGCTCTGCTGGCCCCTCATACCCCCAGGCTCCCTCCATAGCTGGAAGACTGGAAGGGCCTGTGGGAGGATGGAGGACTCCTCAGAGCTGGGGAGGGAGGCAGCCAAGAGAATTGTGGGGGCAGAAACTGAGGGCATGGGCTGAAGGGGAAGCCAGGGTCTCAGTCCCTCTTGGGACATCCTCTAAGTACAGCTGGAGGTGCTCTGCTGGGAGCTTTGCTGAGTAGCGTGGAGGCTCTCAGTGCCCAGTTGGAACAGACACCCTAGGGGCTGGGAGGGGGCGCTGATCTATCTTGGATCCCTACCTGGGGCTCAAGGAAGGTGGCTGTAGGGGCCCCTCAGTGCATGCAAGTACACACACCCACCTCCTCAGGAATGCAGCCAGCTCCATCAGCAGCATGTGCTTTATCTGCATGCCCAGGTCAAGGGTGATGCTCTCGGCCTTGGCCTGGCCCTGGGAGATGATCTGCAGAGGTAGAAGGTAAGATGAGCAGGGGCCCATGTACACTGGGGCTGGGGCAGGGGTGGGGCGCATGCTGGAACGGGGGGGCACGCTCAGAGGTTGGCATGTGTGTATACACAGGGATGGACTCTGCAACGTGCATGGCTGGCTCACGCACGGGCTGTCCGTGTGCATGAGGTGGGGGCTGTGCTACCTGGATGATGTCAATAGCCAGCTCGCTGTGACAGTGGCCATCCAGCCTCTGGGGGGCCACATCCTGGGTCCAGCGCTGTGACTCCAGCTCCAGGGCACGTGCCATCAGCTCCTTCACGCTGGTCTAAGGCGGGGAGAAGGGGCAAGTCAGGGTAGCACGGAGCCCATCACCCTGCCCTGTCAAGCTCCTTGCCCACGTCCTGTCTGTCCCCAAGCCTCCGCTTCCTTCCTGCCCCTCCCTTGCCCCGGCGCTGGCGCTGGACTCACCACCTCATTGGACAGGAACGTGGCCTCCAGCCGCCGGATCTGGTTAGGCGGCAGGAGGCTCCCCAGCCTGACCTCCTGCAGCTCCCCCACCAGCTTGGGGCTGTTGATGATGTCACTGTGGGCAGAGGGAGGCAGGCATGAGGACAACTGTACCCACTCAATGCCATCCCGTAAGCAAGAGCCCACCTCCTCAGTCCAAGTCTCTGCAGGCTCTGAGCTCCATTGTCTCCTCCCATCCTGCCCCACCCATTTCTCCGTCTCAGACCATGTGCCCTCCATCTGCTCAGTTTGGTTCAGTTCTAAAACCTCGGAACCATCCTGCTTCCTCTTATTCTCATTCCTCTATCCACTCCGGCTCCAAAATATCCTCTCCCCTCCCCACATGGATCAGCCTCCAGACAGCCAGGCCTGAGGCCCAGCCACCCCATCTCTGGCCTGGCTTATGGCAGGAGTCTCCTCCCAGGCCTCTCTGCTTCCGCCCTTGCCCCCCAACAATCTCTCCACCCAGCAGGCAGAACCTGCTCGCCTCCTCCTGCAAATCTAATCTCCCAGCTCTGAGATCTCCCCTTTCACACAGATGAACTCCACTCCTTCCCTATGGTAGCAGCCTGAGACTAGCTGGCCCACTCTCCGCCTGCTCCCCGCCCTGACCTCTCACTGCAGTTTTAGCCCCATGCCCCCCTTCCCTCCCAGACCGGCCCTGCAGCCCACAGAAGGTGGGCCAGTCCAAGCAGGAGAGGCTGCCTCCCTAACTGCTCTGTGGAGGCATCTCCATTCACTCTTTTGGCACCTCTGTGGGGTCCTGGAGCCCGCCCAGGGACGGCCCAGCCCTGCCACTTCCTCAGGGGCCTTTGTCTGCCTGGAGGCTCAAGAGTGGCCCTCTCTGCCCCTGTCCCAGCCTGAGCACTGTGACCCTTTGTTCCCTGAACTTCTGGCCACATAGCCCTCGACAGCGCCTTCCTGGACTCCCCTTCCCCAGGGCTCCATGCCCAGCTGGCCTCAGTTTCTTGCTGTGCTGACCCCAGTGGTACCCAAGGTTAAAAGCCCCCCACGTCACTGGGACAGGAAGGCTGAATGGCAGAGGAGTGAATGCCCAGCATTTCCTGGTGAGTCAGGACAAGCAAGAAGGAACTGGCTCAGGGTTGGCCTGTCTCTCTCACAGCCCCTGTCCTGTGCCAATTTCCCCATACCCTGCTAACTCCTCACCCACCACACCCCAGAGCCCTACCTCCAGTCCCCTGTTGGAGGCTGACCCACCAGCACCAACTGAGCCCACTGGCCACCCAGGTGTGTCCCTGAGACCTTCAGACACTGGTCACACTGTCTACAGCTCCAGGCTTCCTGTAGGCTTTAGACTTGAGGCTGGGGTCAGCCCTTATAGGACCCCTGGCCTCCTGTGCTGGGAGCATGTCCACACTGCAGCCTCTCCCCACCCAGCTTGTGCAAATGACAGGCATACTCAGTGACCCATGAGTCTGGGTAAATCAGGGGACACCTGAAGCTGTACCCACCGGAACCAGGTACCCTCCGCTGGCACAGCCAGCCTCCATCTGAGGAGCTCCAGGCCTTGGTGGCCAGAGCCCAGCTCAGCCACAGGTTCACTGGGTGACCCTGCACAACAGGGATCTTTCCAATAAGCCACATGGTCCTACCCCACCCCTGCTGACTGTGCTGCCTGGGAGGGCCCCCATAGCCTACCCATAAATCCAAACTCTGACAGGCTCTGCACAGCTCCCAGGATGCCTCACGGCTCAGCCTCAGGCCTTGGATAGTGACTCCCTTTGCTGGAATCACCACCCTCCCACTGCCTTCTTCCTGTCTTGCCCTCTCCCCTCCTCTACTTTACTCCCTTTCTGCTATTAGACTGGGAGTTGCCCTGAGCTGGGACACTGGCTGCTGCACCAGGCAGGATTCTAATCTATCTGGCACTCCCTCCTCCCGACTGGCTGCCTCCACTGACTCAGGCCAGGTTAGGTCCTCTGCTCTGGGCCGCCACAGCTCCTCCTCTACCGGCCCTTCCTGCCCTGGATTGTCATTGTCTGCCTCACCCCCTGCCCAGTTCATGAGTTAACTAAGTGCCTGCCATTCTGCACGCCTCAGTTTCCCCAACTGCTGAATGTGGCTCAGGCCCAGGAAATGCAGGATACCAAGTGCAAAGCAGACCCATCGCAGGACTCTGCCTGCATTGACCCGCTGCATGCTCAGGATGACACGCCCTCCTCAGCCCAGACCTCCCCCTGTCCCAGCCCGCAGGCTCACTTGGGGTACAGGTTCTGCACCCAGACCAGCAGCATGTAGGTGTCGCGCTCGCACAGCTCGAACTGCGCCATGGCCATCAGCTGGGCCGCGAAGTACTCGTGGTAGCTCTGGGCGTAGGCCGCCACGACGCCGAACTCGGCGGGGAACAGCGGCTTCAGCCGCTCCACCACAGCCTCCAGGTCCTCCTTCATGGTGCGGCCCATGTGTAGGAAGACGCGCTCGGCCTCCGAGCCGCCCTCGGCCTCCGAGCGGCCCTCGGCGTGTGTGGCCAGGCGCTCCTCGGCCGCCCGCGCCACGTCGCGCCGCCAGAGCTGCAGCCAGTGCCGCGGGCGCATGGCCTCCAGCGCCGAGGACCGGGGCGCCGTGCTCACCACGCACTGGTCCTCGCGCTCCTGCTCAGCCAGCACGGCCAGCGCCTGACGCAGCCGCTCCGGCGGTGCCTCCAGCGGCCGGCGCAGCAGGCCGAGCACCTGGTCGCGCAGCAGCACGTACAGCGCCTCCACCTTGCTCTGGCGCCTCACCAGCTCCTCCTCGGCCATGCCGCCCGCCTCCGCAGCTGCCTGCAGCTCCCGCTCCAGCGCCAGCAGCGGCCGCGCTGCCTCCAGCCTCCCGCGTTCCAGGTCCGCCTTGAGCTCCTCCACTGTGACGATGGGACACGCGTCAGCGCGGCCGGGCCACGGGCGAGGGGCACAGTGGGGACAACTCATCTCCCATGGCGCCCACAGGAGTGGAGGCTGAGAGCCCAAAGGCCTAAGTGGTGCTCCCGAAAAGGCCAATCGGTGTCTCAGATGAGATGGAAACCCAGTCTGCCAACTCCCACCCCCAAGATTAGGCAGGGGTGCATGTGGAAACCGAGAGGGGAGACACCTCCAAAGCCATTGCTCCTGCCCTCTCTGTGTTCTGCTTGTGGAAGCCATCCACTGGGTGAGCCCCAGCCCTGCCAGCTCGGACACCGGACCCCACCCACGTGGGGCACCAGCCTACCTGTGGGCAACGGGCCCCCCGGCCCGGGCTGGGACTCAGTCTTGCCCTCTGGTTCTGAGGAGCTGGGATGGCCTTTCTTCTTCCTCCCTTTGGTGAAGACACTGAACATGTTGGCCAGGCCTTTCGGCTTCTTCTTCTTCTTCTTCACAGTCTCTTCTTCATCCCTCCCCAGGGCTACCTCGGCCTCCAGGGGTGGCACCAGGTCCTCAGAGGAGGCTTCCGACATGGAGGCCTCTGAGTCCACCTCTGATGTGGAGGGCAACTTCTGGTGGCTTCTGGGGAAGTCAAGGGCCCCTGGCACAGGCTGCTGGCCGGGAAGGCCTTGAAAGAAGGTCATCATCTTCAGCATCACCCCAGCTCAGGCCTGCAGGTTGGCAAGGGCAGGGGAGAACGAAAGGGTCAGCAGTCAGCGCGACGCTCTGGATCCCGGCTCCCAGGCCCAAGCACACAGTCACGGTGCCAGCACTAAGCGTGTCTGAGCTGCTGTCACCCGTGTGACTGCCAGGGCTCTGGCCTTCTCCTGGACCACATGGGCATCAACAACTCAACTCCCTCCCTGGACACCAGTTTCTCAGCACCCACAGCTCCTCTTCCAATCCCCCTCAGGCCCTCCCAGAATTGCTTGAGCACAGAAGAAACTGACGATGCCCAGCCTTCCAGCTGGAGGGGCCTTCACTTCATCTGGACAAATCCTTCCTTGACAGCCCGCCCTCTGGGCAGGGGAACTGCAGGGCATGAGCGCACCCTGGATCCCAGGAGATGCTGGGGAGGAGGCAGAGCATGGGCTGCGGTCCCACTGCACAGAGCAAGAACAGAGGCCAGGAAAGTCACACAGCCACGGAAGCTGGGCTGAGGCAAAGGTCCAGCCCCGGCCCCACACTCCACCTCGCCTGGTTCTTCTCTGATCTTGTCTGGCTGTGGGGCCCCAGAGGGATGCTATGAGCAGGAACATGGCTGCTCCTGTTGTGACCACAAGGCCAGCAGAGCCTGACCCCCTATCCTGGCCTTGGGGCTCTGTCTACAGAAACCATCCCAAACTCCCGTGGGTGGGAAAGGACTTCAGAGAGCCTTTCGCATGTCCGTGGGGACAAGGGCTCAATGAGGCCCGGGGCTGCCTGTGGCCACATAGTAACTCAGACCGAGAACCCAGGTTTCCTGGCTCCTGCCTCACCCGACTGCTCCCAAATGGGGTGACATCATCATTACAAAAGCTCCCACTTCTTGTGCCCTTCTTGGGTGTCCATTGCATCTCTTCTTCACTCCCATCCAGGAGAAATGTTATTTTCCTCATCTCACAAAACAGACTCAGGGAGGCTTAAAATGCCCCTATGCTAACAGCTTGGGCTCTCGGTCATCCTGCCTCCATGTCCCCCACCACCTTGCAAGCTGCATTCACAGAGGCAGGACCCCCTTGTGCCCAGCAGCACCCTCCCAGCACCTTGACCATTGTCAGAGCAAGGCCAGGATTAGTGGAGGGGAACATGGTTGACCGCAAGGGAGTGAACAGGGCAGGGCTGCGAATGGGGGGCAGACAGGGCTGGGCCTACCTGGTAACCGGAGTAGCCCACAACCATAGTGCCTGCTCTACCACCCAAAAGTAAATATAGCAAGTCATGACTTATGTAATACGATGACTTGGATTCACCCCTGCAACAGCCCTGCCAGGCGGATGAGATGATCCACCACCCAGAGGGAGAAATTGATGGGTGGGGGTGCCTGCCCCGAGCATACAGCAGGAGTGGAGGTTCAGATTAGACCTGTCAGACTTTCGAGAGACCTGCTGCCTCCCCATCAGCCCACCTACCTTGTCCCTTTTCCCCAGCAGCTCATCCCAAAACCCCAAGCTTGGCTATAGCCACTTGGGGGCCAGGAAGCCTGGGTTCCCCCATTCCTACTAGCTTCACCAGGTGCCCTGGGCAGAGTCCTACAGTTGCTTCCCTTGTGCCATTTGGACTAGAAATTCCACTACAGAACCAAACAGGGGGTCCTCTGGGGAGCCCTCAAACCAAGTTCCCTAGATGTGAGGTCACTGGGCAGTTTCCCCCTGCCCACACACTGCCACAGCTTCCCCTCCCAGTCCATCCCATTTTCATACCACGCACCTATAGGAGCTGGCGTGGCCAGCTGGCTGGGGCTGCTAAACCCCACCCTGGGTGCCCAGGCCCCACCTCTGCCCTCCTGCTGGGATGAGGGATGGGGCCATCCTGACCAGCAGTGCTGCCCCCCACCTCCTTGATCCCCACACAGCTAGGCTCCATCTGACCTCCAGACTTTGCTCTTGCAGGTCCCTGCATGGCATCGCTGCTTCCTTGCCTCTGGGACTCAAAATCCTCCTCACCCTCCAAGGTCCTGTAGCCCTTGTCGCCCTCACAATGCTGCTAAGAGGATGAGGCAGAACCACACAGCCAAATGCTGGCCATTAGCCGGGCCTCTGTAAGGGTGTGTGTCCTGTGTCCCTGTGTCTGTCAGGCCAATCTTGGTGCCCAGTACAGCAGAGGAGGGCAGGAGAAGCATTCCATTAAACCTGGGCACTTGGCTTGGCACACAGAGATAAGAAGGGGCTTGCTCAGAGTTATATCGTGTGGCCATAGCCTGTGGCCCAACAGTGGCACCCCTCCAAGCTTCCTGGTTCCCCCAGCTTCCCTTCAGGCACGCCCCCGCCCCCATTCCCTGGTCAGGGCTGAGGTCCACACAGCCTCCCATAGCCTGTGCCGTAGGCGGGAGAGGGAGGTATACCCATCCCCCAGATGAGGACGCCCAGGCACAGCGCATGAAATGACTTGGCCTAAGTCACACAGCCAGCTTCTCTCCCCTCCGTGAGCCCCAGCCATTCTACTGCAAATGGAAGGGAGACCCCTGCGCCTTCCCCCACAGCCCCTCCCTCCCTGCCTTTCCAGGACAGAGCCCAGCGCTGGAAGCGCTAAATCCGGGCCCTCTGAGTCCCCACGCGCCGCCGCTGGGGCTAGAGCCTCCGTTACCCTAGAAGTCGGGATACAGGAGGTCTGGGGCCCTTTGAGCGCCCCGCCCCCTTGGTCTCCTCTGTTTACCGGCCGCTTTCTTGGTGGATCGGGCCCGGAACTGGGGACCGGGCGACGGGCAGAGGCGCGGAGCAGTGGGGACGGACGCCTGGTGAGCAGAGATCACTTACGTGTCAGCCGGGGCGCCACTATCCCAGCGGAACCCCGTGCGGCCTGAAATAGTGGCAGACTCCGCCCCCGCGGCCCGCCCCGTTCGCCGCAACCGCGGAAAACCCGCGGGAGGAGACCTGGGGGAGTGTGGGGGGCCGTGCGCGCCCCCGTGAGGCGAATGCTGCGGCTGTCCTACAGGATAGTGTGTGTGTGTATGTGTGTGTGGGAGGGGGTCACTACCGCCCACCAGCCCGGGCGGGGTGGCGGGTGCAGGTGGTGCGACAGGCTGAGCGTTGCCCCGGTTTGCGGGGCGCAGGGACCGCCACCCAGGGCAGACCAGCATGGGTCTGGTGTTGACCCATTGTCCGACGACGTCTTCTGATTGGCTGTCTGGAAGGGGCCCCGGGCTCAGGACCCATTTCTGCGTCACAGAGCCAGCACCCATCCCAGCTCCCGGGAGCCCGCTCCCCATCTCGTGGGGTGCCAAGTTGGTCTCACCTTAATTCCCTTGGCCATGCAAGGAGCAAGGATCGCCCCCTCTGGGGAGAGCGTTCCTACTCTGGGTATCACTGGGTCCACAAAGCATGAGGAGCGGGCCTGCCCGGAGGAGGTTCCCTTAGGGAAAGGGGGTTGCAGTGGGGGTTAGCTATCGGCAAGGCTCCTGTGCTGGGTGCCTTTATACACTTTCGTTATCAAGCCTTGCTTTAAATAGGGAAATGGCTCAGAAAGGTGAAGTGACTTGCCAGCGGTCACACTGGCAGTAACGGCGGAGTCGGAATTCATCCCCCTTCCATGGAGAGCTCCTCAAGCACTTTTCCTTTCCTGTCCCGGGCTGAGCCAGGACAGGCTCCTGGAGGCACAAGGCCAGGACCCTAATAGCTCAGGCTTGATCTTCACTCAGCCCAGCTCTGTCCTCACTTGGTGTGACTTTGCGCAGGTCACATCCCTGTCTCGGCCTGTCCTGTTTCTCAGGGTCTGTCATGGGGCAGGGAGCCGGTGCTGCACCCATTAGCAGCCCACCCTCGTCCCTATTTCACATCCTAGGAATTTCTGTCCTCTGGGAAGAACGGGTCATTCAGGAATTTCCCGGCTGAACACTAGCTTCCCTTTTGCTTCTTGTTGGAGCCTCTGCTCCTCCCTCTCTTTTGTTTGTCCCTCCCTTACCCCCCCTCCCCCCTCCCCCCTTTACCCCCGCTCCCTGGTGGTTCCCCAGTCCACCTCAGGCTGGGAAGGATGGCAGAGTGGGGAGGGGAGCAGAGCTGGGGGTGCCCCTTGGAGCTGAGAACTTCCTCTTCTTCTGGGAGTGGTGGGTGGTTAAGTGCCAGGTTTGGGTTTGGACATCGGCCCTGTCCCTGGGGAACTTGTGGAGGTGGGGGAGATGGGGGCTTCGGGAGGTTGGCAGTAAGATGGACTCCACCCCCTTCTCCCCCTGAGGCCTTGGGGATGACATTTTCCAGATGAGCTGACAGAACCAGAGTGCCCCGGGCCTGGGAGGGTCATTGCATCTGCTCCCCAGTGCACAGATGGGGAAACTAAAGTCCAGCCCCCCACCCCCACCCCCAGTTCATCCAGCTGGATGGGGGGGCCATGGGGATGAGAATCAAAGAATCGAAGGAGTCCTGGCTCAGTGCCTGCTCTGGCCTCACTGTACAAATGGTACTTTCCTGTCAGGCCTCCACTCCTAACTCAAAACACATTGGGAAGCTGGAGAATTTGAAGCTTTCTGGGTCATGAGGGGCAGGGGAGGTGGTCAGGCCCACAGACCCCACCCTCCCCTCCGAGCCCTGATCCTGATCAGCAGGAGTAGGAGTGACACTTTGCAGAGCAAGTATTGGGTGGCAGCTGACTTTGTCCCCGGCTGCCCGTGCTACCTGCACCCCTCTCTATAGCTTCGCCCGAGCAGCGTTCAGGGCCAGTGGTTCAGAAAAGCTGCCTCTCCCTTGTATGGTGGCATCAGTCACTTTCCCTTTCCCTGAGGTAAGGCACAAGGGTCAAGGGTCACGGGTCATGAATTCGAAGCCCACAACACAGGGGAAATCCTCTGAAAATGGAGCTGCATAGAGGGCCAAGGGATGACAGCCAGGAGTGCTGACAGGGCAGGAGCTATTCTTACCCCTTTTGACAGATGAAGAAAGGATCCCAAAGAGGCAAGACACTTCCAGAGGGAGTCAAAGGCCAGCCCAGAACTCCACTCTCAGCAGGAATGATCATGGAAGCTGGTTGGAATCCTGCCAGCTGCTGTCCCATTCCCCACCTCGCCAGGGAGGGCAGCAGGGGACACCCAGGCAAGCCCAGAGCCATGGTCATCTGCTCACACGCAAAGCAAGACCTTGGTGCCAGCACACACGTGACGCCACTTCCCTTCCCTCTCCTCAGAAGTGACAGCTGACTTTTAATTTTTTTTATTTTTTATTTTAGTTTTTTTTTAAAGATTTTATTGGTGAAATGGGGAAGGGGAACAGACAAGTTGCTGTCCTTTTGTTCTTCAGTCTAGTTGTGGAGGACGTTGCTTCACTGGCCCAACCTGGCACCATCATTGCGCTCTTCCCGGACGAGGCAGATCAGTTGCCGGCTATTGGATGGCTACTCACTGCGGCTGCTGGCTACACATGGTAGTCCATGGTAACCCACTGCAGCAGGGGCTGCAGCCTACGCGGGTCCCCAGGGACTCACAGCAACCCAGCTCCAGGTTGAGCTGTTGTTCAGCATCTTAGCTGTGGAGGGCAGTGTCACTGGCCCTCATATGTGGGATCCGAACCGGGGCCCTCTGGCGTCCCAAGCCAGTTCTTAACCATTGTGCCACTCGGCCAGTCCGACAGCTGACTTTTTAAAAAACTGTGGCAAGACATACATTTAAAAAATTGACCATTTTAAGTGTACAGTTCAGTGGCATTGACTACGTTTAGGTTGTTATGCAACCATCACCACTGTCCATGTCCAAACCTCTTCTTACTTTGCAAAACTGAAACTCATTAAACACTAATTTCCCATTTTCCCTGGCAACCACCATTCTACTTTCTGTCTCTATACATTTCACTACTTGTAATCTCAGTATCTCATAGAAGTGGAATCATACAGTATTTGTCCTTTTCTGACTGGCTTATTCACTCATTAGAATGTCCCCAAGGTCCATCTATGTTGTTTATAGCCTGTGTCAGAATCTCCTTTTTTTTAAAAGGTTTTATTGGGGAATTGGGGGAGGGGAACAGCGCTGGGGAATTGGGGTAAGGGGAACAGACAAGTTGCTGTTGTTTTGTTCTTCAGTCTAGTTGTGGAGGATGTTGCTTCACTGACCCAAGCTGGCACCATCATTGCGCTCTTCCTAGGTGAGGCAGATCAGTTGCCGGCTTCTGGACGGCCGCTCACGGCGGCTGCTGGCCGCTCACGCTGGCTGCTGGCCACACACGGTAGCCCATGGCAACCCACTGCAGCAGGAGACTGCAGCCTATGCCGTCGCCGGCGACTCACGGCAGCCCAGCTCCAGGTCGAGCTGTTGTTCAGCATCTTAGCTATAAAGGGCAGTGTCACTGGCCCTCTTATGTGGGATCCGAACCGGGGCCCTCTGGCATCCCAAGCCAGTTCTTAACCAGTGCGCCACTCAGCCGGCCCCAGAATCTCCTTTTTAAGGCTGAATAATATTCCATTGTTTATCCATTCACCTGTCACTGGACACTTGGGTTGCTGCCACCTGTAGCTGTGAATAACGTTACTATGAACACAGGAGCACAGACACCTTCCAGACCTGCTTTCAGTTCTTTTGGGGAGACAGCTGACTTGCTGACCTCCACAGGTGCCAGGTTCTGTTCTGAGTGCTTTGCATGCGTTAACTGTTCTCATTAGGCAATCTTATGAAACAGGTACTCCTTAATTATTCCCTTTTCACAGATGAGGAAACTGAGGCACAGGTAGGTCCAGTCATGCGCCAGTCAGTGGTGGAGCTGGGAGCCCTGTCACTAAGCATGTACTATTCTGCTTCCCCCGGTGTTGATCAGTGTCTGAAATGCAGCTTGATGTATTTAAGTCAGACACCAGCTTAGATGCAGAAATAAAAGGTTTTACTCCTTTTTATCTTTGAAAAAATTTTTTCCAATGTTTCATGACCTTATTAATTGAGGCTTCACCCTTGCTCTCTGGGGGAGCCCAGCCGCATGGGGTGGTATGTGATTCATGGTCCTTGATCTAGACCATCTCAGGGCATTCTGAGAGCCTCTCAAGAGAGACGCTCCCTGGAAAAGGAGTTGAAAGCAGCAGGGGGCACATTTGGGGGCACAGGGGTCAGCAGATGTAAAGGCTGAGGGTGGATTGCACAGGAAGGAAGGGGCTGTGGTTGCTGGGTCTGGCTACACCAAGAAGACCTGGCCCGAAGGCTTGGTCAGTGGCCTTGGTCACAAGGGTTGGCTCCCCAGGATTAGGAGACCAGGGCCCTCCAGTATGTGACCCAGTCCCTCCCCCATGGCTCACTTCCCTCTGTGAGATGACTTGCACTTCCCACTGTCCCAACCCAGGCTCCTCTGTCCTGTTTTTCTCTTTCCTTCTCAGGCCATCACCTGACCTGGGACCCTTCCTGGGGCTTTCTGTTTCCTGGGGTTGCCCCATTTACTGCACTTACTGCACTGGGCAGAGCCATTGTGTCCCCTGTTGACATGAGGACACTGAGTCTGAGAGGGGTAAGCCAGCACACAGGTGAGGCCTTGAGGCTGGGGTCCCTGCTGCCAGCTGGCCTTCCCCAAGAGAAGTCACTTGCTCAGGGTCATTTGCAGTTGCACCATTCCTGGGCCAGAGTCTGCTGACCTCCCCAGGGACCACGGGATGGCCAGGACAGCTGACAAGGAGCCACCCTCATGGCATCCTCTCTCACAAGGGCACCGGCCCCCACATGAAAATGTTTACTTGTTATCAGCTTCTTTCTTCCCAGGAGGAAGCCAGGCCACACACTCCTTTCTGTGTTGGGCAGATGGGGAAACTGAGGCCTAAGGGGAAATGGCTTTTGCAGGGCCCATGGGGCAACAGGATCCCAATATTGGTGGTTTTCCAAGGAAGCCTTCCTGGAGGCACTGTCCTTCCAAGGCATCACGGACTCTCCATGCGAGCCCCGGTCGCCTGGCCTTTCACAGTGGCTTTCGGTGATGACGCAAGACGGGCCAGCTCAACCCCTGTCCTTCCGGGCTGAGCTGGAATCCCAGGCCACAAACGTCTGAAACCAGAAGCTAATTCTTAACCCCTGCACCAAGTCCCCAGGAAGGAAGAAAGCCTAAACCACTGAGCAGAGCCCAGCACACGGCGGGCACCCCAGAGACAGCAAGGCTGTCCATGACATTTCTTTCCTTAGAGGCCATTATTTGGGGGACTATCAATCAATCTAAGAGCCTTAGTTTTCACAGGGCTCAAGAAGAAGTGCCCCCGCTCCCGGTCCCCCCCCCACACACACACACCAAAGCAGGTTCCTCCCTATGCCTGAAACTTCGCCATTCAGGTACATTCCTTGGGTAAGCATTGCTTTTTACAGACTCAGGTGGTCCTGGAGGAACCCTGGTTGCTCTTGGGGAAGGACATGGGAGATGGGAATAAGGAGACTTTTCACCTCATATCCTTTCTGTACCTTTTAAATTTTGAACTATGTGAATGTATCACCCTCCAAAATATTACTGAAGTTCAAGATGAAGACATTAAACCAATTTTACAAGCCGCAAAGAGGTGTGTGAGTGTATGTGCAGAGAGAACAGGGACCTTGAAAGGAGGAAGGGCCTTTGCAATGGCTAGTCCAGGCCCCATGGGTCCCAGGAGAGTGGGCCCAGAGGTAGGCCTCATTTGTCCAAGTTTCCATCCCCTCCAAGCACTTCGCTAGACCAGGGGTCTCGGGGAGGCCGGCTGAGACCCTCGTTGGGAGCTCCTGGTTCTCAGCACACCTCCTTACAAGGCGGGGAGCCTGCACTGCCACCTAGTGGGACCCGATGTCCCAGACCTGGAGCTCTCCGCTGTCTAGCCATAGTGCCCAGCACTCCACACAGACTAGCTGGGGGCGGCCTAATCCCGGTCCCTCCCCGTTAGGCCTGAGCATGGATGGTAAACAGATCCTGACCCTGATGGGAGGCCCCCACTGATCCGCTGGGGTTTCCAAAGGGACTTTGTGGTAGTAAAAGAAGGAAGTGAGATTGGGGACGGCCGGTAGCCCTGGGAACCATCAGCCTCCTCTCCTCACCCAGGCAGTGTTGAGGGGCCCTGCAAAGACCAAATCCCAGCTGCTGAAGGGGCTGCTCCTGGGTAGAGGGGCCCCACTGGGACCAGGGACAGGAAGGAAGGGGCCTGGGTCACCAGGCGAGGAAGGAAGAGGGAGAGGCTGTGCAGGCATGGAGGTGGCATGCTGGCTGCCATTCACAGTACTGCCTTGGGGTCAGGGTCTCACTTACCCCTGAACCCCCTTGCCTGCTGGGCGCTCTCCCCCGTGCTGCAGACAAGGACCCCGAGCCTCAGGGAGCAAAGCACCTGAGCCGCCAGCTCACCTCCGAACACGCTCCTATGGAGCACGACACACTCAAGCAGGGGCTGGGCCCGAGCACCGGGGGGCCAGAGCGGCGGTGCACACACAGGGTGCGAGCCCCAGGCTGAGCGAGGGTGGGCACTCAAGTCCCCTTCTGTCACCCCAGGACTGCCCTGAGCTGGCGTGCTGTGGATCATCACACTCCGGGACCTGCGTACCTGGCCTTGGGCAGGCTGACCCTCCCAGCCAAGCCTGGGCTGGAACCCCAGAAACTTCTCAGAGCAGACCCTCCCTCAAGGACCCACAGGCTCAGAGACAAAGCAGAGGGAACCCCCAGTCCATGAGGGAGCCCAGGAAATGTGGGCGTCAGGAAAGAAGCAAGTTCAGCAGAGGGAAGAGGGTGGCCAGGCAGAGGCGGGACAGGGACCAACCGGTGGGCCTGGAACCTGCGCTCAAGGGACAGGTCAGGTGGTCCCAGGCTATCCTGCTCCACTAGAGAACACAGATACTGGGCAAGGTCCCTCCATCCCCAGGGTGCTGACAGGGGCTGGCACTTTCCAGAGACACACGTACTTGAATGCGCGCCCGCGGACACACACATACACACACACACACACTCCTCTCTCTGTCTCTCTCTGTCTGTCTGTCTGTCTCTCTCTCTCTCTCTCTCTCTCTCTCTCTCTCTCTCTCTCTCTCTCTCTCTCTCGCTTCCTTATCAGCCAGACAACCTGGTCAACAAGTCCAGAAGCAGCTCTGAGAGCCAGACCCCTCCCTCACGCTTGGCCTGGACAACAGGATGGTGAAATACTCTGGGCTCTTTGCAAGGCCTCCAAAGACCTGGTGGGCAGAGAGGGTGGGAGAATCATGGGCACAGCCCCACATCTAGGGGCAGAATGGCCAGTGGCCAGAGCCCTGGGCCTGGACCATGCCAGGGTCCCCAGCCTCCTGGACTGCGCCGTTAGGACCTGCGGTCTGGCCTCCTGCTCATGACAACTTGGCCTTGGGAAGCTGAGCCCCGCCCCAAGACACTGCTGGGCTCACAGGAACACACACCAGGGCACATATACCTGCCTGGACACAGCGGTTCCTGCCAGGAAAACCCTGACTTCCTATCTCCGGGCCTAGGAATGCTCAGGAAGATGTCCCTGGGTCTCAGCCCAAATCCTTCCCACTGCAACTTGGAGGCTGCTCAGCCTCCTCCTGGGGACCTCCCTCATGCACTGACCCCACCCACCTCAGGCTCTCCTGCCACTGTTTCCGCACACCTGCACCTAGGCTCTTCTCAGCTTTTTCTTATAGACCACTGCTGGCCAGGCCCATGGGAACATGGGGTCACAGGGGGACAGGGGCCTGGCTTTATGGCTGGCACTTACTTCATCCCTCCCAGCCTGGGAGTCATAGTCAGTACCCCCATTTCACAGCTAGAAAAACTGAGGCACAGAGAGGTAAAGGAACTTGCCTACAGTCTCACAGCTGGAAAGTGGCAGAGCTAGGACTGAACCTTTCTCACCTCTGCAGCTTGGCTTGGAAACCCAGCCCTGAGACCCTCAGATTGCAGTCAAGTGACTCAGGCAGGACCAGGGGCCTCTGTAAGGGGTCTACGACTCAAACATGGGATAAGGGAGGCAGGGGTTCCCTGAGGAGAACCTGGCCAGACCACACCAGACCAGATCAAGGCTTTCTATACCCCACCCCACCCAGCCTGAGACTCGCCCAGGCCACTGATGGCCACTGGGCTTACACGCATGGTCAGGCTGACCTGTCAATCACCTGCCCCTCCATAGTAAAAGAGGTACCTCTCTGATATCTCCCCTCCCCATGACAAAAGACCCCAGGCCAGTGATGCTGAGGCCACCCTCTGCTGGCCTGTTTCCCTTCTGACTGCTTGTGTCAGTGGCAGCGCTCGCACACACCTTGCCCCACCCCCAGCCCTGGAGCCTGAGAACCCCAACCTCTGCTGTTCCTCATTCCTGCGCCAGCCACATCCACCTCACCGGATTCCCCACTTAGGTTGGTCCGGACACTCCCGTGCTTCCCCCACCACCAGCTTCCAGCCCCTGTACCCATGAAGCGGGCAGCCCTTGGCACCTGCTCCCACTCTCCCTGGGGCCCCAACAGGACCCAGGCCTGGCTCTGCACTCCAGCCTTGGTGTAGGGAGTAGGGCCGACCTGCCTGGGCGCTGCCCACTGGCTGTCCACAGTGTAGGGAGGTGGGCCCAGGAGGAGCTAGAGAGACGAGTTCCCCACCCGCTCCGTCCTACAGCCTTTCAGGACACGTGTCCTGTCCTTGGAAGACTCAACTTTGTTGTGCTCTTTGAACCTACAGTTACCTACTCCCCACTCGTGCCACGGTCAGGATCAGGCCCAGTGGGGGCCTTCTGTGGAGGGGTGTCGGGGGAAGGGACCTATTGTTGCCTGTTGCAGTGTCTCCCTACAAATCCTCTTACCTCAGTGCTCAGCCTCCCTGGCAAGCCCAAAGTTTCCAGTACAAATGGGTTCCCCGGCAGCCTTGCGCACAGGCTGGAGCCAAATTTCAGCACCAGCTTTTCATGAGACAGGATGGGGTGGGGCGGGGTGCAGGTGCACACTGGAGTGATCTCCTTGCAGCCCCTCCGGAGCCGAGACCTGCAGGGTCAGGCCCCATGCACACACTCCATGGGTGACATTTACCCAGCAGCCCATGACTTCACAGCTGTAAAGTCCCTCTACCCCAAATGCCCCGTGCTGCAGAACAAACCTTGGCCTCTTCTTGTCCCCCAGGGACCCAGGCCTGCTTAAAACAGGACAGAACAGTGCCCACCCCTGCTGGGCTAGGCTCACTTGGCACATGAGAGCAGTAGACCCAAGTTCCCAAAACAGCAAAAGCCTGTTTTGCTCTGCAGCCATAGGTGTGGGCCTCCTTAGCTCTGAACCTGCCTCAGTCTCCCCATTGGTATAATGGGCAGGAAAGGGCCGTCCACTAAATGAAGTCACCACAGAACCTTCTAGCCCTGCCCCTTCGTACACGGGGACCCAGACACTCCTGCTCCGGGCCAACTTGACCCTGCCCCCTACTTAGGGGGCATCATTTTAATTCGTGTTTATTTAAAAAATACTCTGTTCTTCACTTTCAGACTGGGGGTGGTGTGGGGCAGTTAGGCAGGGAGGCCTTCCCTGGTGGGCAGTACTGAAGGGAGCCTCTGCCCCCCAAGCCCTCCCCCACAAATACCTGAAATGCCTCTGCCATTGCTGTTCTTTTTGACCCAGCAGCCAGGCTTGCTGGGGATGAAAATTCAATGACTTTGTGCTTCAGGCTGGGGATAGGGCTGTGAGGGCCTCCCTGGACTCCTAGCTTGGGGTTCAGTGCCTGACCCTCCACCTACTGCAGCCCCCACCTGAGGTGTCCCCCACTCCACCCAGGCCCAGGAGCACTAGATGCAGGTGATGAGCACATCCACAGACGTGGACACCTCAATCTCCTCAAAGAGCACACGGCCCGCAGAGGTCCCCGAGCCCCCTGTCTTGGCCGCAGCCTTCAGCAGGTCCTGGGCATGCTGCAGGAGTCTCTGGTTCCGATGGCGGCCCAGTCGGCGCAGTGCCAGGATGGCCAGCACGTGGTCCCGTCTGCAGAGACACGGGGCCCTTGCTGCAGACCCAGCACCTCCAGTGGCACCCCAAGCCCCAGGAGAGGGGAACCCCTGGCTTGGGCTGGAAGCATGAGTGCACCCACGTTCCTGGAGCCTGGTCTGAGAGAGGCTGAGAATGAGGGAGGCCAGAGGAAGCCGTGCTCCTGGAAGGGCTGCTGGGCCTTGAAGGGTGCCAGCCCGGTGAAGAGGGGAAGGGGCACACCCCACAGGTGAAATAGCCTGTGCAGAGGTTTAGCAAATGTGCTGCAGTGAAGGAGGGTGTAATGTGGCCGTGCAGAGAGCTGTGGGGGCCAGGGGGCACGTGGTCTTCTTCCTGCGAGCACTGCGTGGGGCACTGTGTGGGGTGCCGCAGTCAGGCAGCAAGGAGAGAAAGGAAGTGTGGAGGCCCCAAGCTGGGCACCCAGGGGGTCGCTAGTCAGGCAGCAAGGAGAGAAAGGAAGTGTGGAGGCCCCAAGCTGGGCACCCAGGGGGTCGCTAGTCGGGTTCTCATTCCAAACACTCCCTGCAGCTCGAAGCACAGCCCGCCCCACTCTGGAGCCTGGGAGGGCAGGATGGGCCAAGGGCAGGGGAACCCCGAGGGGCCAGGAGGGGATCCCCAGAGCACTGCAAGGAGGTGATCACTCTGAATCAAACGCAAAGATACAGTCCAGGCTGGGAATTCTCCCCGGGGGGTGGGGGTGTGGGCAGCCGTGGGGCCGGGAATGGGTTGGGCCCTCAGGCTTTCTGCTCCCTTCCCCGTCCTGGAATCTCCAAGGCCATAGAGAGATTCAGGCTGGGATTTCCATGGGTTCAATGACTCACCCCCCTCTGCCCCCCCCCAACACACACCAAGGGATCAAAGCCTCCTTCCTCCTGTCAGGGGCTTCCCGAGAGAGGAAGCCTCCAGAAGTGGGGACTGCGCCTTTCCCCAAACTCCGACAACTGGTGTGCATCTCTACTGTCAGACACAGATGAGGGACCCTGACCCCGTGCAGACTACAGGGGTTCTCCCATCCCACTACAGGACTGAACAAGGAGGACCACAGGTAAAGGACCCCCTCGCACACGCCCCTCTTCCAACGTTCTAGCGTCTCCCTCAGGTTCCTCACCTGCCCACCTACAACCCCTGGGACCCTTCTGAAGGCAGGAATTCCCCAAATTTAGGGCCTGATGGCATTCTGGAACTTAGGGCCCGATGGCATTCTGTCGGAACCCCAGGGGAGCAGGTGGGGTGCGAACCTGATGTCGGGATAGCTGCTGATGAGCCTCTCCAGGTGCAGCTGGATGATATCTTTGTAAGTCTCACCCAGTATGTCAGCCACACAAGGGATCGCTTGTCCCAGCCACGTGGCCTCAGAACCCTGAGGAGGCAGGGAAACATGTACTCACCTGGCCACCTCCCCTGGGAACCCCCTTGCAGCCCCTGTGTGCAACCCCTCCATTCAATCCCTGTTGGCCCTCTTGCAGCCCCCACTTGCCACAGCACAATATTCATCATCTCTCCCCACTGTACAGCGCAGTGTCTTCCCGGCTCTGCTCAGATGGGTAAACTGAGGTCCTGGCCGGGAAGTCCTGCCTGGAGTCATACAACGAGTGGGAGACCCGTAGCCTGGATGATGGGTGTATGTGTAGGAAGGAGGTACCTCAGTTCCAAAGGCTGGGGGTCAGGGGCCCTGCCTATCAGATGCGGCTGCAACCCTAGCCCTTTCCCCACACACTCCACAAAATGTATGCAAATATATGCAAAGTGCCACCCCCACCTGGCACAGCCCCCACCTGGCCCCACCCTCTCCTCTTGCAAGGGTTGAGCTGAAATGAGAATAGGGGGCATGACTAAAAGGCCCAAGGGCTAGAGAGGAACCCCCTACCCCACCCCACCCCTCCGGGAAGGCGGGCGCACAATTCTCCTACCAAGCCCTGGAAGGTATCACTGATGGCCTGGGCATCGAGGCCCATCTTCTGGGAGCCAGCTGCGCGCTCGGCGCCCCGGAACCGCTCACGCGGCCTCAGCGCCTGTGCCAGATACTCCCGGACAACATACCGGTGTACCTCCTGCAGAGTCTCCTGGTTGGTGGGAGGGTCCGAGTCAAGGTCAGGGTCAATGGCCTGGCCCTGGGCATGCCCCCACCAGGGCCTGGTCCCTTCCAGATACCTGCCCGAGGGGTGGGGCCACATGCTCCAGGTGGCGGGCGAAGGCCACCACCTTGTCCATGAGGGGTCGCAGCGTGTCCTGTGTCAGCCAGACCTTGGTGCACAGGGTCCTAAAGAGTGGCTGGGGGCAAGGGTGGGGCCAGGAACCTCTACCATGTCCTCCCCACCCATTAGACCCCCCAGTGCATGGCTCCCAACCCACCGGTGTTTCAGGCCTGGGGACAACAATCTGTCAACAGGAAGAAACTCTAGGGAGCTATCTGACCCCCTCTTCTTGAGGGGCTGGGTGAGGGGCCAGGTTCCTTAGACCTACCATCTCCAAGAAGTGGGGACTGACCATCCTTGCTCTAGGTCCCCTGCCCACCCCAACACATCACTCCTGAAACTGCCCCTGGAGAAAATGGGTGCTGTGACTTGGGACCCTGGGCTCCAGGGTACAGGGGAGCCTGCTGGGCATGGAAAGTGGGCAGAGAAGGGCACATGGCACTCACCTGCACATCACGCTGCAAACCCTGGAGCAGCTGCTTCTGGAAGATGCAAATGGTAGCCACCAGGGGCTTCTCCAGCTCTGCAAAGTTTCCTGGGAACTTGGCCAGAAGACTGGTCCTGGGGAGGGGCCAGGACAGGTGACAAAGTGGACAAGGGGAAGCAGGCTGAGGGTCAATGCCTGGCATACAGCCATGCAGGCGAGGTGCCACACCAACTCCATTCACTTAGACTATAATGTGAAGGGCAGCCCCTGGGACCACACACTGTAAGCCCCCTGGGAACAGAGTCAAATGAGGGGACAGCACCAAAGCCCCAGGAGCAGATCATGGAGTGATAGGTCTGAGGGATGATGGTGGTGACCACACTGCATGGCAGAGCCCCCCTGTGACACCTCTGGGTCAACCCTCCACCCCTCCTGAACCTTGCAACACAGCTGTACCTGGTGCAGGGGGGGAGGGGGGCCCTCCTGTGAGCCTCATAACTTCCTCTCTAAAGGTGACAATGTCCCCATTTCACCTTGGAGAAACTGAGGGCTAGGCTATGCCCAGTCCCCAGTACAGGCACAGAGAAGGGTAGCCTAAAATTCCATCAGGGTCTGGGCCAGAGGCTGCCTACCAAGGGGTGGAGAATGGTTCCTGGGGCTGAATGGATGGGCCTGGCACACATCAGAGACAAGAGAGTGTTAGAGAAGCAGTGCCTCATCATGGTCATGCTTTGGATTCAGACAGTCCTGGTTCAAGTTCCAGCTCCAGCATGTACTGCCTGTGTGGCCATGGACAAGTGGCATTTTTTCCCCGAGTCTCCCTTTTCCCATCTGTACACAGGGACGCTGCCCTTCTGATGAAATGCATCAGGTGGGTAATGCACTAGCACAGTGTCTGGCAGACCACAAGTGCTCACAAAGAGTGAATATGAATGGCGTCTTCTAAAGGCACTGAGTCCTAGGGAGCAGGTGCTCTGATCTCTGTTTGACAGAAAGAAAACCAGGCACATAAAGGGGAAGTGATTTATCGCAAGGTACCCAGACAGCAAGTGGTAGTCCGTGCCCATAGCTGCTGGCTGCCCTGCAGCAGCTGGTGCATCCCATTGGGGTTACACTAAGGCTTGGCCGGGGGCTGATGGCACAGAAAGGGGGCAGCCACTGCCAGCCCACATGGAGGGCCCCTGCCTCCAGCAGAAGGTTCAGGCCCACACCCCAGCATAGCCCCGGGTGGAGTGTCATGGAAGACTTTCCGGAAAAGGGGATGTCTTAAAAGCAAAGACGATTGGCTGGGATGAAGGGAGGAAAGAAACGGAGCCCAGAGTGGCAGAAATGGACTAGGCAGGCAACAGGCAGAGGCTAAAACGTCTGGAGCTTCTCTGTCTCTGCTGAGCCATGAAACTCCCCGCATTCCTTCCAGGGATGCAACCCCGCGGGGCCGAGGGAGGACCCCACAGGGGGGAAGGGGGGCGGGGGCGCGGGGCGCATTCCTGGAGGCGTTTTGGGGAGTCTGCCGGAACGCCGGGGTACGAAGTTGTTTCCCTTGCGCGCCTGGGAGACTACCGGAGCCTTCGGCGTCCGCATTTCCAGAGCTCGCGCGCCCCCTGCTGGCCGCGCGGGGTACCGCCCCTGAGGAGGAGCGGGATAGACTCACCTGAGCTCTTCACAGGCGTTGATGTTGGCTCCCAGGTGCGGCTCGCTCACCGTCTCCGACTCCAGAAAAGCCTTTTCAAATCTGAGAGCGGGGTACGCAGACGCCTTGGGGAGCCTTCCCGGTCGCACTACGACCCCGGGTCCTCCCTCCCCTCGAGTTCCCCCCCAGACCTCGAGCCTTCAAATGAGGCTCTTCCCTCCCACTTGTCCCGGGATCTCCGACGCTGAGCAAACAGAATGGGCCCTCCCCCAGGGCGACCACCGTCACACGCTGACCCAGCCACTCCACCCACCTCACCCCCGCCTAGGATGTGACCGCACCTGGGCACAAAGAGGCCAATCGCGCGCGCGCAGATCCTCAAGGTGGTGGCCTCCAGCTCCGCGGAGATGGCCCCAGCCGCCTTCACGTGCTCTGCCACCAGCTGCCGCGATGCCACGCACTGAGCGGGGGTCCAAGCCCCCGACCCCAATGCCCCTAGTCCTCCACCTAATGGCCCAACGATGTCTCCAGCCCGCTCTGCTCTAATCGCCTAGGCTTCAGCTTCCAGGGGCCCCAATCTGGAGGTCAACCCTTCCAACTCCCCGCACCACCGGCCACCTGCCAAAGTGGGAGCTGTGCCCTGGCGCTCCTAGCCTGGGCATGCCACCTGGTGTCCCCCATCCAGGCCTACGTGGGGCTTCAGACTCCCCTCTAATGGGGAGGTGAGGTTAGGACTGGATGTTATAACTTCGGGTGTCCCCACCGCGAGGGAGACCACACACCGCCTAAGGCCAAACACAGTTCCCTCCTCAGCCCTCCATCTCAGGCCGCACCATGTGGACGTCGGTGGACAGCGGCGTGTAGTAGCGGCCCTGCAGCACGTCGGGGGCCTTGGCGGCCGCCCAGCGGTTCTGCTCTAGCTGCAGGATGCCATCGAAGCAGCTCAGGATCTTGGTCTGTGTGGGGTGGGGAGGAGGGCGCGGTGAGACCCTCCGAGGAAGGAGGAGGTCGGGGTGTCCCTACCTCCCGAGCCCTGTCGCGCGCCCTTGAAAACAAGCGCCACCCAGCCAGGGCACAAGCCAGCGCCCGAGGTCACAGGGTGAGGCCTGAGTGCGGCCAGCACGTGGACTGCGATCCTGGGCACCTACAGCTGGGTCGCGGCTGCGCTCAACCTGGACCCCGCCCCCTCCGGCCTGAACCCGCCCCGACCTAACCTCGAGGAAGCTGGTGTAGTCGCTCTCCAGTCGGGCCCACACTTCGGGTGCCAGGAGCGGGGGCAGAGGCTCCGTGGACAGAGTCAGGTCCGGGGCGCCCAGGAAATTAGGACTGGAAGGCAGGGCGGGGGCTGATGCGGCAGCGGCTACCCCCCACTCCCCTCTGGCCAGGCTCAAAGCCTAACGCCCTCACCGCAGGGTCCCGAACCTGGCTGGTCCTCTGTTCACACATTCCGCACCCCCCCCCAGCCCTCCCTCCAGGCTTCTGTGCCTACCCCATCTCACTCCACCCCCACCCCCCAAGCTTCTCACTGCTGGATTTCCTGGCACTCTAGCAATCAACTGTGGGTGCACATCCAATACTTAGCTCTAAGCGTCCCCAGTACCACACAGCTCAGGGACCTGCCACTATCCAGCCCACACCAGGGAAGGCCGGAGAGGGGCGAATGGCTGCCTGAGGACACACAGCAAATTAACGTGCTCAGGACTTTGGCACCCTCCTCCCGCCCGCTCTCCTGCCTGTGTGGGGCTGGGAAGCGTTCAGCCGGAGATGTAATCCACCTCATCACACCGTGCAGAGCTGGAGGTGGAACGGCCTGTGCCCTGCTCCTAGGTGTCCATGCAAAGGGGAACGTGGGGATGAAATCCAGCCCAGCCAAGCCGCTGTGGGCCTGCCTGAAGGGATGCCCTTTTCTAATTCGCTCAAAGGCACCTTGTGCACTAGCATAGGCTCTCTAACTGGGCTTCCTGCTGGGGTAGGAGCTTCCCCTCCGACGCTTTCCAGCTTCAGGAACCAGCGCAAGGGTGGCCCCTTAGGAAAACCCTGGGGGGAGCGCACTGTGGCCTAAAACCGGGAGGAAAGAATACCAAAGGCCCCCGGGATCAATGACGCCCAATTACCAGCCCTCTCTCAGGGAGGACTAGGGGAAGGTGCCCTGCGCTCCTCAGAACGGATTCCCAAAAGCCTCTCGGTGGGCAGTGCCAGCCCCTCCCTGCCCTCCATGGCGCCCTGGTTGAGACCTCACCTGCCATAGACATTGGCGGCCCAGTCCAGCAGGATGTAGAGCTGCTCACAGCCGCGGGCGTCGTGCGCCAGCTCCTGGAGGCGCTGGGCTACCGCGCCGTGGAAGGCGCGCAAGTAGGCCTCCCATGCTGGGAAGCCGGCGGCCGCATACGCGGGCTGCACCTCCAGCTGCACCTTCCGCAGGTCGCTGCGAATCAAGCCGCCAAGCTCGGCCAGAAGCCGAGCCAGGCCTGATGCATCCTCCGCTGCCCCCGGGGCCTTCCCGGCGCCTGCCTGCTGCACGCGCTCCTGCGCACTCCGCCGCACCGCGTCCTCCCAGTGCTGGCGCCAGCGGCGTGGCGTGCGCAGGAAGTCGCCGTCTGCAGGGGACGTCGGGTGGGCCTCCTCTTCGGCGCGCACCACGTGGGCCAGCTCTGCTAGCGAGGCCGCGTCCACACCGTCCGGGCCCAGGGTCTCGCGCACAATGGCAGCGATCTCGGCGGCCAGCCCGTCGTAGTGCAGGCACACGTCCATGGCGCGCCGAGCGAAGCCTGTGGGGTTCTGCTCGAAGGTATGTGAAGCTTTCTCGGCCGCTAGCTGCGTCTCCAGGTGCTGCAGCTGTTTGAAGGCCTCCAGCAGTTGCCGCTCGGTGATGAGGTCTGCCACAGACTTGCCTTTTTGCAGGTCAGGCAAGGAGAGGTGCAGTGAGGGAGACCGCCCCAGCAGGCGCGGGTCTGACGCATCCTGAGCCGGGCTGCCTGGCCCCAGAGCTCATCTGAAGGCCCGCTCCAGGGGCAACATCCCCAACTGCAGAACTGTCCCTCCAAATCACCTTTGGAGAGGGAGAACCCCAGGCCCCAAGCCTGGCTGAAGGTAGTAATTTGGATCAGCCCTTGCCTTCCCCATTTACAGCACCTACCTTCGCCCCTGCTTCCACCCCCACCCCTAGCTCTGCCGAGCTGGACCTGGTGGACTCAAGCGCAGTCCTGACTTCAGGTGTGATGGGGTCAGAGTTCCGGCTGGGCGAGCTATCCAGTGCCCAGGCTCCTGGCCCAGTGCCCAGCGTCAGCCCTTCCTGCTGCTTCCTGGTCTGAACTAGCCCCCACCCCTAGGCACCCTCTGCCTTCGCCTGCGCCCCACTCAGTTCCCAAGTCCAGTTCATCCTCTCCTGGCAGCCCCCTGACCTCCCCTCCAGGCAGCCATGCAACCCTCTAAGCTAAGAGGGCCAGTGTCTTGCCCATCACTTTGGTTCAGCCAGGAAACAGACTGTGGAATGCTATGGAGAGGCCTTGGGTCCAGGAGTCCTGCAAATGTGAATTCAGATCCCATTTCTCCATTTCCCAGCTTCAGTGAAACTTGAAGCAAATCAATGAACCTCTCTGTGCCTCAGTTTTCTCATCTACCCAATGGGGGCTCCCTTGTTGAGATGCTGGAAGAATTTAAAAAGCAATTGAGCAGGGCGTAGGGGCTTGGGGAGCTGGCCGTCAAGGAGAGTGTCGGAAAGCCTGGGCTCAGCTGCTCCACCCTCTGGCCTATTTCCTCCCAGCTTAGTGTTGTTTGTGAAACCCTTACCTGCCTCAGGTTCCAGTTCCTCAGGCCCCACCCCAGGGGACAACTGCTGGGCCACGCCATCCGTGACCCTGGAGGGCACCTCTGGGCCGTGACCTGCCCCTGGCACAGCAGTGGCCTGGCACGGGTCAGCAGCTGGGCTGTCATCCAGAGCACGCCGTAAGGACCGGAACAGGAAGCGGGAGCTGCGCCAGAGCAGGCCCGGGTCCTCCTCGGAGGCCCGGCCCGAGGCCCGTTGGCTTGTCCGGGAGAAGACCCGCCGAAAGGTGCCCAGCCACGCATCCTCACGGTGGGCGCTGGGCACATCCACACTGCTTGCCCGGCGAGTTCCCCGCGCTGGGGTCTGTGGCTCTACAGGCTCCTTGGGGCTGTGTAGCTCTGGCCCAGAGGCCACTGTCCGAGGTGATGGCATCTTGGCAGCAGGAGAGCTGAGGGTGAAAAGGAAGCTCAGGAGGCCCGAGGGGAAGGGCTCCCAGCCCTGGGAGCAGGCTCAGAAACATGAGAGCACTGTGGGGCCTGGCACAGCCTAGCAGCTTGCCAGGAAAGCTTCCCCCAGGACGTGAGCCCCGGGCTATCAAAACAGAATGTCACCAGGCAGCTCTCATAGCCAGAACCATCTTTGTACCAGGCTGCAGCTCGAGCTGAAATGTAGACAATGACTATCTCCAGGAAGCCTTCCCTGATACCACCTTTCAAAAGAGTCTCCCCCAGGTGCTCGCCCTCATGGGCTCTGCCAGGCCAGACCCTCCATCAGAGTTGGAGAGGAGAACTGGACATGCAGGTTCCGGGGCTCAGCCCAACCCACAGCCCACAGTCCCCGGGGCTGGACCCAGCAACCACATCCAGGACTTCCTGGATCTTAGGTCCTGAGGCCTAAAATGCCTACCACTACCCACAGTGTTCACCACCCCCAGAGCCCTCAGCTCACCCCCATTCAGCCCATCACGCCTAACTGCTTCTGCTCAAAGGGGCGCTCAGGGACCTGCGTGGGAGACCACCCCCTTCCCAGGGAAACTCAGAACTGGAGAGAGGTGGGGGTCAGGCTTGAGGGCATTGGCAGAGGCCACCAGAGGCCACCCACAGCTTATCAGGGCATTGCAGTCTGCTTGGGGTGGAGGGGTGGGAGGAGCCATGGGTCTATATTTAACCAGGAGTTGGGGGTTCCCAAGGCCACTTTTCACCCATTGCATCTCCTCCCCCATCCCCTTTACCCCCATTCCTGTGTGTGCTGGCCCCAACCCCATAGGGACTGAGGAGAGGGTCCCTAGGGTATGGGAGTGCAGATCAGAGGCTGGCCCTGCCCTACTCAGAGCTCCAGTTCTCATCTCCCAGGCCCCCCAGATTCTACCCACACCCCCTTTGAGCCCAGCACGGCTGAGTTTGACTTTCTGACTTTAGGTTAACGTAGGGGTTGGAGAGAGGAGAAAGCATCCTCTGCCTGCTGGGACCTTCCACCCACCTTATTGTTTAAAGGGGGTGGGGGTGGGGCTTTAAGCCAGCAAGGTTTCACTTTAGCCTTGGAGAAACGGGGGCCAAAGGAAGCACAGGATCTGAGGAAGTCACTGACCAAGAGGTTGAGCCCCCAGCCTGTTCCTAGGTTCCCCCAGCCCAGGATAAAGGCCAGGCTGGAGCCAACACCCGACCGTTGAGTGACATTGAATGGGAACGGCCTCTCCCCAGGCCTTGGTTTGCCTGAGGTAGGCAGGGCCCAGACCCTCACTCACATCCCACACCCTCCAGTGAGATGTCTGTCCAGGGGCCAGACATGCAGGGGTCAGCTGAGTCCTACCTTCCTCTCGCAGAGGCTACTGGGCAGCTGGGAGGAGGCCTCACTGAGGGAGGGACAGGCCCAGGTGACTGATGAGGGCCTTATCAGCTCCACCCCAGCTATAGGTCATCATAGTCCCCTGGTAGAGGACTCAAGGATTCTGCCCTGACTCAGACTAGCCCGCACAAGACAGGGAGCATTGTCCAGGAGCTGTGTGACCCCCTCTCCCCCTCGCTGGTGCCCCTCAGCATCCAGCAGGGGCAGGAGGCGTGAGGAAAAGAGCTGTCCCAGCTGTGCTATGCCGGCCGGCGCTCCAGGCTCTGTCACCAGGGGGATGTGGAAAAGGACAAGCTGAGCCCTGCGTTAGTTGGGAAGAGCTCACACTTAGTGAGCACCTACTGTGTGCCCAGCCCAATGCCTTGCACATCACGTCCCTATGACAACATTGCAGTGTGTTATTCACCCCATTTCGTAGGTGAGGGAACAGGCTCAGAGAGGGGCAGGGTCTTGCCTTAAGCCACACAGCTCAGGGAGCTTCGACTCTCCCAGGTCTGTCTGGAAACCTGGCAGCAGAGGCTGTACTCCCGTGTCTCCCAGAACCAGCAAGTCAGGGGTGCTGCCTGAGGAACCCTCTCTCCCGGCAGAGCGATTCAAGTGGGGGAGTGGGATCAGACTTGAAGGTCTCCCCAGAAGCCTAGAGGCAGATTCTGGGGGGAAGAGCGGCAGCTTGTGGCTGGGTCTCATTGGAGGTTACACAGGCAGAGACTTGGGGCCCACCTGGCTATCTCGACCACCCTCATCCCAAACCAGAGCTGCACTAAAGGCCCTTCGGGGTACCCGGCTGGTCCCCCAGCCTCCTTTGCTCCTACAGCTTCCCAAGCCATTCTTGACTTTCCCAAAGCACAAGTCAGCCAGGTCATTCCCCTGCTTTAAACCCTCTATGGCTCCCGACAGCCCTCAGGCCAAGGCTAAGCCCACAGCTTGGCATTCGAAGCACACCATCCAGGACCAAACTTTCTCCAGCCTACCCTCTGGGTCTCTCTGACCTGCACTCAGCCAGCCTCCTGGGCCGCCTCTCAGTCCCCCAGCATGTTCAGCCTCCAGGCTTCTGCTCAGGCGGCTCCCTGCCTTGGCCTCCCCATCCCTGCTCCCCACATCTGACCTGGATGTCAGGACCCAGGGGTGCCGGCTGCCCGCACCTCCGAGGAGTCCTTGGGCTGTGCTGCACCACCTGTCTGCTCAGCAGGTACTCGGGACTGTCCCTGTGGTAATGGGACCCTCCTCACTGGCCTGGGAGCCTCTGTCCATTTGTCCCCTCCCTGTCACCCTAGAGCTAGCCTGGAGGAGGAATGAGCCATCAGTGTCAGGGTCACCCCCTGCCTGGTCTGATTAGGTGGCTGCCACTTTGGGTCTGCTGGACTGAACTCTCTGCTGATTCTGCATTAACTTCTGCCACATACCTACCGCCCCACATCCGTGAGGCCTCTGTATGGCGCGCTCTCTCTCTCTCTCTCTCTCTCTCTCTCTCTCTCTCTCTCTCTCTCTCTCTCTCTGTTCCCATTGCCCTGCGTGTCTAGAGACTCTGCACTTTGGGCCCAGCACTAGCTGATTTTCAAGGCTCAGGAAACCTAGGCGGAGCCTGAGCCCTGGGTTGGGCCCATGCTCTCCAGGTCAGGCCGACGCACCTGCAGGGCCAGCAGGCGGGCAGAAAGGCCACCAGAAGACAGGTCATTGGGAGCTGCCATCTGGAGCCACCCTACCTGTGACAAGAAGTCAGGTCTGGGCTTCCCCCTTCCCAACCCTAGCCTCAGCTTCTCCCCGCTTTTCCTAGACATGCCCTTCCATCTTCCTCATCCTCCCAGACATCCCTAGTGCCCATCCCACCCCCAAGCTCCCCACCTATCCTGGCCTGGGCCATCACCCCATCCTTCAAAGCTCCAAACTGGCCACCTTGGGCACCCTGGGCCGCCTGTGTCTCCCTCTGACCTCCCACCTGCCATCCTCCATCACCATTGATCACAGGTCCTAACTGTACTCCTTCCTGGACCACTCCGGTCCCATCTCCTCAGAGCAACTGGGGGAAGGGAGGTCTTGCTGAAACATAAGCCTCCCTTGGAACCCTTCCTTGCAAACTAAGAGTCTTCTGAAAATAAGGAAGAAGGCAGCATGTGTGTTCTCACCATACTATTCCACATTTGTCTGGAAGAACTAGTTCAGGCAATACGGAAAAAAAAAAAGTACGTATTGGGAAGGATCTGATAAAACTGTCATTATTCATAGGAGATATGACCGTCTGCTAAGAAAAGAGCTTTCCCACACTCCAGAAAAGCCTACCAGTAAAAGGCACTTGAAAGGCTCCCCCTCCACAGCAACAAAACATAAAACGCTCGGGGCTGCCATCACCCTCAGAGAAGCGCAGACTCCCCCTTAGCTGGGCATTCGAGGCCCTTCCTAACCGGCCCCTCCAGCTTCTTTTCTCACTCACACACCAACTCTGACCTCTCCAAAGCACTCACTTCTGCATACCTTTGCACAGGCTCTTCCCTCTGCCAGCAGTGTCTTCACCCTCACCTTTTCCAGCTGCCAAGTCCTTCAAGGCTTAGCACAAGTGGCTCCTCCTCCAAGAAGCCTTCCCTGACTAGCTGAGTTCCAGGACAGTCAGCACGTCCTTCTCTGAGCCTGGTTGTGCGCTGGGCATACCTTCTCCCATGCCTGAGGGACAGTTACAGGGTCTGGAGCACCTGCCCTTGGACCAGGACCACCCACCCCATCCCAGGGTAGGGAGTGGGCCTGAGTCAGCCCCCAGCCAGGGCTAGTACACGGCAGATGCCCTAGGAAAACAGATCTAATGGGGTGTAATCTCGTGGGTGTGTACACACTTGTGTGTGTACGGACTTTGCACATCTGTGTGTTGGCCTAAGTGTGTCTCCCTGTGTGTGCCTCTGTTCTAGAATGTGTGTGCCTCAGAGGGTCTGCGAGTGGTTCTCTCCATCTGTCTGTGTGTCGGTCCGTGTCTTCAGGCCTGTCTTCATGTCCATGTCCATCTACCTGTTTTCTGCGTGTGTGTCCATTGTCATTTGAGCTAGCACTCTGGCCTGGGCTTCAAGCTGAGGCCCTTGACCCAGAAGTCCACTAGTAGAACCGGAATTGTCTCAGTCCCTTGAGTCTCCGCCCACTGCCCACAGTACCCGTGGCCTCCCTGCTTCACCTGCACGGAACATACCTGCTAAGTAATGGCCACTGGGCCCCGGCAGAACAGGGCCGTCAGGAGAGGCCGCCGAACAGCAGGGCCTCAGAGCCAGTGAGGCCTCTGGAGCAGCCACAGCAAGTAACCAACAGCTGGGTCCGTGCCTGTTTGGGCCCACCAGCCCCACCCCCAGCCCCACCCTCCGCCATACTTTCACTTTCAGAAATGCTCCCACCCCCTTCCCATTCCACAGGCAAAATCTCTCCAACCTTTGATTCCTGGCAGCCCAGGGCTCAGGCTGAGATTCATGGACTATGGGACAGGGGCCAAGAGGACAGCACGCCGGACCAGTGCGGGAGAACACTGCGGGGACTGGTCTGACTGTCAGCTCCTCCTGTGGTCAGACCTAGATCAGAGGGAGCAGGCGCCAGCCAGCCGGGGGGGACACCCAGCCCACAGCACCCAAGCCTGCAGGACTCCTCCCTGCAGGACAGAGGAGCCAGCACCAGGCCTGTCTGCCAAGCTCATCCTGAGAACCAGGAGAGCAGAAACGTGGGCCTTGGTTGGGTGGGAGGGGCACAGTGACAGCAGGGGGAATGCTACAGAGTGCTTCAGGGGCTGGAAGAAGGGGTGGCCTTGACCGACAGACAGGGCTACACTCGGGGCTGAGGAGGGATGGCTTTCTGGGTGGGGTCAGTGTGTGAGCACAGGTGTGGAGGTGGGGCCTGAGCTGGATGATTGGGGACACGGCACTGCTCCTCCTCCGTGGATCAGGTTACAGACATTTTGTGCAGAGGGTCACTGAGACTTCCCTGAAAAGGCAGACTCCACACTGTCGTGGGGGGATTCCGCTGCTAGCATCTAGGGAAAAAAGTTAGGGAAAATCCAGAGAGGATAGATCCAGGCCTGTCCTATCTGGACTGGAGCCACTAGGGAGGCAGGGTGGGGCGGAACAGGAGAGGTGCTCTGGACAGGGTGCTGGGAGAACAGAGACAAGCTTGTGGCTTGGTGTCCAAGGGCTGCCAAACACAGCACCACAGGCTGGGCCACTTAAACAACAGCCATTTATTTTTCACAGTTCTGGAGGCTGGAAGTCGGAGATCGAGGTGTGTGCAGGGCTGGTTTCTGCGGGCTGGTTTCTGCTGAGACCCTGTCCTTGGCTTGTAGGTGGCCATCTTCTCCCTGTGTCCTTACATGGTTGTCCTTCTGGGTGTGTCTATGTGTGTCTCCTCTTCTTATAAGGTCACCAGTCGTATTATATTAGGACCACCTTTCTAGCCTCATTTTAACTTAATCATGCTTAAAGACCCTATCTCCAAATACAGCAACATTCTGAGTTTCTCAGAGTTAGGACTTCAACATAAGATTTTTTTTTAGAACAAAATCCAGCCCATAACAGATTGGAGGGCACCTGAGATGTTGTAGTATCCCACTGCCATCTGCAGATGGGTCAAATTGGGCCCAGAGATGCCAGCCCCTCCTCCAGGAAGCCCTCTGTGTTTACCTCTTGAGTCATTAGTCCCCTGAGGCCTGGGTTCCCCTCTGTGAAGTGGGGTCAGAAGAATCCCAGCTCAAGCCCATGAGGCACCCAGCTAGCTGGGTGGGCCTTTCCTCCTAACTGATGCTGGCCTGCCCACTGGCCTCCTGTCCCTTGTGTCTCCAACAGTCAGAGAATTAGAGGTGGAAAAGGCAAGCACAATTCGAGAGACAGAGGGCCCACCCCCATGCAGCTGTTCAGTGAGGGTCCTGGGGCAACTCCACCCTGGTGGGACCCCCATGGTGTACAAGCTCTCCACCGATGTTGCACTGGGACACCGACACAGAGAAACATTGGAACCTGCTCATAGCCACACAGCGGATGAGAGAGAGGCCAGGCCTCTGACCCAGTGTTCTGCTTCTGAGGACAGAGTCTTCTTGTGGGGGCAGGCCCTGGTGGACACTGTTAGCTCACAGGGCGCATCAGGGTCCTGGGACCTCCAAATGTGGGTCACCTCCACTCAAGAGACAGGTCTCTGGAAAGCTGGTGGTGCCCAAGGCCTGGGGATTGCTCCTGGATCTCCCCCAAAGTCCCAGCTGCACCCCACACCCACCCAAGCCGGTGACCACTTTTCAGCAAGAGGCTATAAATGGTTCTTTTATTCTATTTCCATGTGCTTTCCCCCCAACTTTCTGAGTAAAATCCTATTGGAAAAGTCCCAGCCTGTCTTTGAGGAGCCTGGGCACAAGGCTGGGGGTTAGAAGGCAGAGCAGAGGGGACAGTCAAAAGGTACAGCTCCTTGAGAGAGGCTGTTCTGATTCTGAGCCTCAGTTTACTCCTCATAATTGGGGTTGCTGTTGTGATCAAATGGGGTCACCTTAGTAGAGGACCTGGATCCCGGGTCGGGAGGGCAGGAGAAGGACCCTCATCATAAGATGATGCTTGCCTGTCCTAGGGATTCTAGGAGTAAAGGCTCTCTCACCAGGAATATAAGAGGCCAAGTGGCAAATTCCACCTACACTGCTGCCACTCGGGGCAGAGATGGGTCTGAGAGCAGGAGGCCCGGGTTCCATCCTCTGCCCCTAACTGGCCGTGGGCCTGGGCAGAAGACAGTACGTCTGCCTGAGCCTCAGCCTCTCTAACGTGAATACTGCAAAGAAGAGATGGCCCATGTCAGAATCCCAACCGGCTGTGACGTCTGTTCTGTCTGCGCTGGTGACCTTAATCGACGCCAGGGGGAGCCGCAGAATGATTCCCAGGGGCGTTTCCCCAGGTTGCCCTGCACCAGTGTGCTGGGGGCGGGACCTCAGGGAGGGGAGGGGCTTAGCCACGGGCAGGGCATCTGTCTCTGGCACCGCCCCCCCCCCATCATTACCACCAGCGCAAGCCCGGGTGAGTGGCGGTGGGTGGGCTGGGTTCATGGTGGGCTTAAAGGAGCCGGATCCTGCCGGCTGCGGGCCCCTGAGCTGTGCGGGGTGAGCCGATGGCAGGATACACATGCTCTGCCCGCCTCCACTGGGCTGTCTCCCTGGGTCTGACCCCCCAACCCCCAGCTCACCAGGCACAGGTACTGGTACCATCAATTATGGGTCCCCTCCACCCAAGACCTGCTTTGTTACACGGCGAGCTCCAGAGTGTCACTGTGGGCGCCGCCACACTTTGGTCTCAGGCGCACCTGGGATTCTGTCCAAGCTCAGCTATTTGTCAGCTGTGAGACTTTGGGAAAGTCGTGTTTAAATGGGTGTAACACTGCCTGAGAAGAATGAGGATGAAATCCTCACCATTGCCCACCCGATGTTCCACACCAAGAACCAGGAAATCACCCTTGCTTGCTTAGGTCCCTGGTGCTACATTCCATGTGTCAGCAAGTCCTTCTACACTTCCTGTGAAATGTCTGCTCCCTTTCCCATCCTCTTGTGGACCAGACAGGAAGCGCTGGAGGAGGAGAAGGTCGGGAAGGGCCTTGAAGGACAGCCCAACACCTCTCCCAAGTTGTAGACCAGGGGAGGGCCCACAGAGACGTCCTGGACCTGTGTACAGGGCCCATGGGGGTCACAGGGCTAAAATTAAATCAGACTCCCAGGCTGCCAGGCAAACTTCCACACCTTTGCCTCCCGCCTCTCCTGCATTTGGGGTTGGGGGTCTATTTTTAGAAGGAAGCCGGGTTGGAGAAAGCGCCTTATTCATCCTGGAGGTTAGCTAGGCCTCCAGGAAAGAACAGAGGGGCCTGTGTCTCCCGCCTCCCTCTCCGTGCTCACTGGGCCTTGTCCCACCCTGTCTAGGGCTGTGTACTTTGTTGAGCTAACATTTATGCTGGGCGTCCCCCTGTCAGGCCCTAAGCTTCTCTAGGCCTGGGTCAGGCTAGCTGAGGGCAGGGGGCCAAGTGGGGAAGATGGGAGGGAGTGTGGCACACCTGGGGAGCACACCCAGGCAGTGATCAGGTTTCTGACCCCTAATGCCAACCCAACCAGCCAGCAGGGCTCCCCTGTTCTTGTGCAGTGGGACACAGCCAAGAGACAATGGCTGGGTCCCATGGAGGGACAGGACCCTCACGTGATGCAGGAAAGAGGTGCCACCCAATCTCCCATGTGGGCTCTCCATCTAGCTGGGTGGCTTCCCAGCCGTGGAGATCCCATCATAAATTTGGGCACCTCCCTTTACACCTCAGTTTTCTCTTGTATAAAATGGGACTTTTGTAAGCATTTCATGAGATCCAGCCTGGAATAGGGCACTCTATTTCCTGTACCATTCCTATGCCCTAAGTACCCAGGGTAGAGGGGGGTGTCAGGAAAGATTATGCACTCAGGGTCCAGCCAGGGCTGCAGGCCCCAAGGAGAGCCGCCTGCAGGGAGCTGGCCCTGCTTGGGCAGCCTCAGCTGAGGTGGAGCAGGGCAGAGGGCCCCAGGCAGGAGCACCAGAGGAGCAATCGCCACAGTCCCTGGACAGCCCCTCCAGCTGTCCTGGCCTCACCCCCATGCAGAACACCCACGTGTTCTCTCACTTAGGACCCCGTCCTGGTCAACCTGGGCTCCAAGCCCATGCCGTTGCCTCGAAGACCACTGTCAGAACCAAAATAGTTCTTAGCCCCTCGAGTCCACACCAATGTGCCCACTGACCACCAGGAAGAGCCTTTATTTCTGCTTCAAACCACAGAACAAGAGGGAGAGTGACGCAGACCCTGGGCCTTGGGTGGGAGACGGCAGGGGCTGTGGGCCTGGCCAGACCCGGTGAGGCCGGAGGTGGTGGCTGGCCTCTGTCCTCTCCAAGCATCAGCCTGCCCACCCCGGGGCTGAGGCCCTGTCAGCTGTCAGAGGGCGATGGCAGGGTGGGCAGGACAGCAGAATCTGGCCATGTCCTTGTCCTATTACTGGGCCGTGGGGGCCTGGTCCTCAGAGCAGGCACACTTGCTGCCAGCATCATCCGGAGCCTTCCCTGATGCTCCTGGCAGACTCGGTGAGGAAGCTGCAGAAACATGAAGGCCTCCATGTTGGTGGGGCTGTGTTTCCGACAGGTTTGCGAGGAAATGTGTGGACGGGGGTGCTGCAGCCGGGTGGGCAGGCAGGCAGCTGGGCTCGGGCAACCACGGGTTCCTCAGGTGAAGGGGGGAGGGGTGCTGAATGCGCAGTCCCGGGCCAGGGAGGAAGGATGAGGCCAGGCTCTGGGAGCAGGAACAACCCCTTCCCTAGCACATCCGCTAGGGTAAGGGGGTGGCAGATTGCGGGGGAGGTTCAGAGCAGATCTGGAGACTGCCCCAGAACCCAAGTTCCACCCAAGGGGTTGTACTAGTTGTCTGGGCCTGGAGTGGGACCTGACAGAGGTTGAGGGAGTTTTGGGGAGGGGGGTTATGCCACGGACAGATGCCTTTTGGCCAAGCTACAGGGGATGGCGGGCCAGCAGGTAAGGCCTGCTGGGGTCAGGGGCTGACATCTGAGGAGGGGGAAAGGGCAGGTAGGGTGCTAAGCAACCCCGAGACCAAGGGACAGACTCTCCAGGGGTTTTCAGGGGACAAACTTCCCAGGGCACAGCTCACCCCTCATGCACCCTCCACAGAGGCCCTCACCCCACTGCACAGCCTGCTGTGTCTCTCCTGTACCTCAGACCTGGCCCCTGGCTGACCGCTTTCTTACTCCCACGTCCTCCTCCCAGAAGCTTCCTTGGCTTCAGCAGCCTTTAACCGGGACAGGAGCCTGCCACGGGGCTGGCCCATCTCCACACCTTGAGGACATCTGGGCTAGGCCTGCTCGTGCACATACCCTCACCCCTTCCAGGCCCTAGTGGGCAATGCACACTTGCTCCATCATGAGGGCAGGAGAGGAGAGAGGAGGTGGGACTGGATGGGGAAGGATGAGAACGTGCCACCATTCACCCAACGAAAACTCCCTGCAACCCTCCCCTGTGCCAGGCCTGGGACCCCAACAGTGGATGACAGGACCTCGCAAGTGGGAGGGGTATGGTGACAGGAAGGGTGGCAAGACCAGGCAGTGCCTGTGGCAGGCAGAGGTCAAAGGGCGGACAGATGGGTTAGGTGTGAGGGGCTGGAGGGCCCTGCTTGCAGGAGTGGGCAGGAAGAACACCCTGCTTCTGAATCCTTTTTCTCGGCACCCCCACAGGCAGCCCCTCACTCACCAGCAGTAGCTTGGCTCTGGGGGGACGCCCTCTGGGCACCCTCCGGGGGCCAACGCAGCTCTCCACTCTCCACAGTGCCCACCTCGCTGGACTCCACCACGATCGAGGGCAGCCGCTGGGCCAGCCGAGGGCCCTTCTCCCGGGCACCCACCACAGCCTGTGGGGAGGGTGGGCAGGGGTCAGGGCAATGCTGGGTCCTGAGCTCCCCACTCCCTGCCAAGCCTGTCCTGGAGCCGCACACACACATCCCTGAGAGGTTCCCAGCTTATCCACCACTGGGGCTGGGGCACTTGCCTGGGGTCACAGCTCTACCTGGGGCACTGTCGGACCCACTGGGCTCAGCCCTTTGGCCCATTTCACAGAGGCCAGAGAGGTCAAGGTCACACAGTGAGTGAGCCCAGGGCTTCTGTGCACTCCCCAGCTGCCTCCGGGTATCCTGTACAGCCCTTTCTTGGGGTCTTCCCTGCTGGGCCCTTGGCCTCCTCCCTGCTCAGAGGAGCAGGAAACTGTTGCCGTGGCAACCTGAGCAGCTCACTCTGGGCTTATTGTTCAGTGCCCACAACAGTGTGCGGGGGCGCCTCCCCAAGCCCTCCTGGTGCCCTCAGCGTCTCCGCCTCCCATTCAAGGCCTTCCTTCCAAGGTATAGATAGGCTCCAGCCGCCAGAGCTACTGCACAGAACTCCAGCCCCAGCAGCCCAGGCTTGCCTGTGTGTCCCACCGCCATGGCTTTGCTGGGGTTCGTCCCCTTCCTGGAGCTCCCCACCCCCATCTCTTTACCTAGCAGGCTAATTGCTTGGTACAGATCTGCCTTCCCCCAATGGCGTGAGCGCCTCAAGGAAGGGCCGGCACTCAACAGGCAGGACTTGGCTCAACAGCCCTTGAACCACGGCAGAAGAACCACCTATACGTGTGTTTAAATGCACATTCCTGGGCTTCAGCCCAGGAACTAGCACTTCAGCCAAGTACCCAGTTAACCTTGAAGTGTGAGAACAGGTGTCATTGGGCTGGGACGTCTGTGGAATCAGAGGAACAGCAGAGCAGGGTTCCAGTCGTGCCTCCTGGGTCCTCTGCTGGCATTGCCAGTCCAGGGCCTCCTCCCCTTCCCGAATCCCTCCCACCTGCGGTTCTCCTTCCTGCCTCCTCTGGGAAGCCCTGCTGACCCCCACCCAGGGGTGTTGCTCTGCCCAGAGCGTGCCACCGGGGTGAGGGAGGTCCCGGCCAGCAGAGCTTGGAATTCCACGGACTGGTGTCCCTCTTGCCGTCTGCCCTGCCAGAGAGGCTTTGTCTGCAACCCCAGGCTCCAGACTGGCCCCCTGTGCCACTCTGGCCTGCTCCCCTCTCTGGCCCCATTGCCCCCAACAATGAGAACTCAGAACATTAAGACTGTACCCTTTGTTTAGAGACTTCACTTTTTAGCTGCATCAACATCCCCCCCCAAAAAAAAAGTAGAGCTGAGGGCAGGGGACCCTGTCATTTCCTCACCCATCAGAGAGAAAACTGCCCTGAGGGTCAAGCCTGGGGTCCCCAAGGTCTGGAAGGGGTGCTAAGTAAACCAGGGCAACCCGACCTTCAATTACTTTATCAGACTTCTATAGAAGAGCAACTGCTTCCCCAACCCAGACAGGTAAACTGAGGCATGCCCCAGTCATGGGCCAGGGCTTGAGGCTGGCTCCCTCCTGACACCCCAGGGCCCCAACTACATACCTTTCCTGCTAGGCCTTCGGCCTCTTCCGCTGGGCTTAGCTCTGGCATGGCGGGCTGAGGAGCGCTCATGCCGCTGCCACTGTTGGGCTGCACAAAGACAGGGAGCAGACAGACGGGGAGACAGAGGTGTCTGCTGTGGGCCGGATACTGGATCCCACCCTCCTTCCGGAAGCCTCAGACTGCTCCAGCCCACATCCACCCCACCCACCCTCGGCCCAGCGCCTGTGGCTCAGATGGACCCCTATCACTGCTAACCCCTGCCTGCGCCCACCATCAGAGGGGGCACTAGATGGGCACCACACAATGTGCCCAGGGCTGCAGAGGGGCAGGGGCAGGGGGGGCAGGCCGGCCCAGCCTTCAGACCCACGAAGGCTTCCTGGAAGAGGGTCAGCTGATCTGAGGCCTGCGGGATGAGCAGGAGGCCAATGAGGAGGAGAGAAGATGTTCTGAGTCAGGACAGAGTGCGGGGAGGGCATGGAGACTGCAGGGACCCAAACGGGCTTCTGAGACAGGAGGATGGGAGCAGCAGGGCCCGGGTTCAAGTCAGCCAGAAGCAAAGGCCGCCCCTCGGCCCCTCACAGCAGACACCCCGCACCACACACAGGGCCAGGCCCTCAACACTCGCAGCTGAAAGAAAACTGACATCCTGCCTGCACTTGGCCATGGCAACTCAGGCCAGGCACAAGGGCAAGGGAGGCCGGCCAGAGACCACACAGCAAGGGCTCTGGGAAGAGAGGCGTAGCAGCCTCAGACTCTCCACCTGCACTGGGCCAGGGGCAGAAATGGGGGTGCGGTCAGCAGGCAGACACCTCCCTTTGGCAGTGCCTGGGAGGCAGCAGGGGGCACAGGCAAGGGGCAGGAGTGCTGGGAGGGTACTGGGCAGGGAGAGAGCAGTGGCCAGAAGGTGGAGTGCCTATGATGCCCTGCTGGTTGTGGGGGAGGCATCCTGTGGGCACCCAGCAAAGGGGCAGGGCTGCTATTCTGGCAAATGAGGTTCCTTTCACAAATACCCAGCTCAGGTCAGCTCAGTTTCCACCCAGAACCAGGGAAGGTGGGAGGGGGCCACGCGCTGCACTGGGCATCATGGGGCAGTGGGCAGCCTCACCCTTGCCTCCACCCCATCCCAGACCATGTGAGAGTCACTCTCCACCCCACGTACACTGCTCCCAGGTCTGGCCTTCTAAAGGAGCCCCTCCTGGGACCTCATCCTGGGAACCCAGAACCTCGGCTAGAGCCCAGGGCAGCTGGGACGAAAGCGGGAGAATGGACTCAGAGATCCAGACAGATGTGAAAAAGAGACAGAGTGGAAGCAGGAAAAGCACTAGCCACAGACAAAGCAGAGATGATGGAGAAAGAGACACAGAAAGAAGACAGAAACAGACCCACAAAGGTGATACAGATAGAGGGGAGAGGAGTGATGACTGACACAGGTGATAGAGCTGTCACCTTGGACCCAGCCAGGGAGCAGGCAGGCAGAGAACAAGTGCCTAAGGGCTGCCTCCCCTTGGCCCCAGCACGGGCACCGGCCCATGGAGGGCTCCCACCACCCACACTTGCACAGGCTCTCAGGTGTGTAGGGTCAGGTAAGCCGTGCACAGACCCCAGGAGTACTGCTCTCGCCCAAAGCCCGGTGTCCAAAAGCCCAAAGCAGCCAAGGGCTGACCGTGGTCCCCAAGCCCTTCCCTTCCCCAGGGAGCTCCAACTCAAAGCCCCCCAAACCGCCCCCTTCCTCCTCTTTCACCGGCACACCCGGGCCGCTGGCCGGGGCAAGGGTGGGCAGGGGTCGCCCCTGTGCCTCACTTACTCACCCTCGCGGGCTAGATGCTCGGGCTGCGGCAGCCACGGTCAGCTCAGGGCTGCTAGCCCGGGTTGGCCCTCCCTTTCTCTGGGTTGGCTCCCCGCGCCCTCCGCCCACATGCGCTCATTTGCCCGGCCCCTCATCCACACTCACGCCCCTCTAGCGGTCCGCACAGCACCCCTCCGAACCTCCGCCCTCCTGGCTCCAGCTCCTAGGTAGGACTATTACAGGGAATGACGTTACATTGCACCTGGGCTCTTTGTCTTCCTGGAGCAAAGAATTCAGTCAAGAGACAGAGTTTGTGCAGCATAGGACAGCAAGAAGTTCATTAGTAAAAGCAAGTACACGCCGGGACATGGAGCCCCCTGACCCAAGAGAGGGAAGCAGCCCCTCTTCACACTGTGTGAGGATTTTTATCTCTGTTGGTAGAATGGTCTCCCCCGCTCCCTCTCAGTTACCTTTTTTTTTTTCTCTCTGCTGAGGTGTCCTGCCCTCCCCTCTGGTTCTCAAGGTTGTTTCTGAGAGCGTAAGCGTGAACCTGTTAATTTCCCACGATTTATTTGAGAAGCTCTTTAAAAGTGGTCCTGAGAAGCAGGATGTATATTCTAAGAAGCAGGATGGTTTCCCTCTCTCTCCAGCAGTTTTCCTTCTTCTAAGAATATATCTTGTTCTCAGTATCCTGAGGTGCTTGTGCCCCAAGTAAGAGCAGCTGCCAGGGGCCTCCTACCGGGGCTAGTTCCCTCCTTCTCCTGCTCACTTCTATTTGAGATCCCCAGTCTCAAGTTTAAGGTTCAGGAATTCAGGGGATAGAATTGGGTGGGGCTAGATACATAGAAAGAGGACATCATCCAAACGGAGGGACTGAAGAGGGCAAGCAAAAGCGGACAAGGACGTGGAAGGGCTAAGGTGTGTGTTGTGGGCTGGGGGAGGTCATCCAACCACTCCCCTCTCATCTTCATCCCTAATCCCATTCCCAAAAAGGAGCAAAACAGCCCTGGGACAATCATTCTCATTCAGCCAGATGCACAGACCTGACACCTGAAGCCAAGGCGCATAATTCTGATCCACATAATTCCCTACCCATTCACCATCCAGCATCTACCACCATCTAACACCCACCATCCAGCATCTACCACCATCTAACATCCACCACACAGTGTCTAAACATCCAGCTTCCATCCAACAGCCACAATCCATCATTCAGCATCCATTTACCCAGCCACTATTATCTATAAACTATCCAACATCCATCCACTATCCACCAGCCACCAGCCGTCATCCATCATCGAACATCCACTAACCATTCAATTCCAACCACCATCCACTATCCAACTGTCATCCATTCATCATGCAACCATCCATTCACCACCCACCTGCACCATTTACCAAGCAGCACTATGAAAACACCCAACATTCATTTACCATCCATCCATCCACCACCTATCCATCCATCATTCACAATCTAACAGCTTTCCATCAGTATTTATCAACTATCTATCCACCTGCCATTCATTTATCCAGCCACCATATATCTGGTTGTCAATCATCAATCTACCGTCTATCTACTGTTCATTTATCCAGATTTATCCATCAGCCTCCATCCATCCGATCAGCCACGATTCATTCATCTACATTCAATCACCACCAGTCATTTACTACCCCTCATACATTTATATTTCTATGAACTACTCACCAACCACCTACCCTTCCTATTCACTACATATATAGCCATTTGTTGTCAATCTCACAATAGCCTCTATCCATCCATCCAGCCAGCCTGCCAGCCAGCCAGCCAGCCATAATTCACTGTTCATCCAAAACCCCTTCAAATATCATCTATCATCCATCCATGTTTGCCCATTCTAGAAAGATTTATTGAGTGCCCTCTATGTGCCAAACATTATTCTAGGTGTTGGGGATAGAGTAGAGAGACAGCAGTGAGCATTCATCCACCATAATCTATCCATCATTATAATCTACCTGCCATCCATCTCTTCATTATTTGTACATCATCCCCCATCCATTATTCACTATTCATTCAGTATCCATCTTCATTCATCATCCATTCACCATCCACTTGTCATCTGTGCATCTTCCTCCATCTATACATTAAACCATCCATTTACCATATACCACTCACCACCTATCATCTATCCGCCATCTATACATCCACCATTCACCTTTCATTCATCCATTTTCCAAGATATAGCCATGTGTCATTTAACCATCATCCATTAATCACCTAATCATCATCTATCCATCCAGGACTCATCCATTAGTTATCTATTCACCACTCACTTCCATCTACACTTCCACAGCACACAATCCATTATCCATCCACCCAGCAACCACCCACTTATTTGCCATCCAGCCCCCCATTCATGAACCATCCAGCCACCATTTATTTGTCCAACATTCATGATCCATCCATCAATTGTGTATACATTCACATTTATCCATCCATTCTCTATGGAGAGATCTATCACAATCATATGCTTACTATTTATCCACCATCCGGCCATACTTCTATGATTCAGCTACCCACTAAGCAGTCACCAAGCACACCTATTACCTGCAATAAATCCAGTATCTATAGATTCTTTCAGTATCCATCAATCCATCAATTTAGTGTCCATATCTATCTATCTATCTATCTATCTATCTATCTATCTATCTATCTACCTACCTACAATCTATTTATCTGTTCATCATCACTTAACCAACTACCATTTCATAGATGCACCCACCATCCACCAGCTTCCATCCACCCACAACCTAGCACACCATATATTATTCTTCCAGTACCTATCTAACCATTGTCTATACATCTATCCACCCCCCCACGCACATTCTACAATTTCATCATTCATCCATTAATTCATTTCCCCATCCAGTCATTCAGTCCCACCAACCACCCATCCACCTAGTAATTCACCCATCCATCATCCTGCCCTGCATTCATCTATTGTCATTATATTTTATTCTTATGTTATCCATACACATAAACATCAGTTAACCATTGTCACTTCCATCTCTCCACAACCCATCTCCATCACTCATCCATTCATCCATCTATCCATCCATCCATCTTCTCACCATTCTTTTGCCCATTAATTCATAAACTAAACATTTATTAATAAATAGTAATATTAAACACAATATTAAACATTTATTACTAGTTTTAGTGTTGGATTCTGGGGACATCAAGATGAATAGGATCCCATCCAAATTCATGGCCTGATGAATTTATGATGTGACAGTCCACAAAGGGGAAACAGACCAGACAGAGAAGTGTCAGTGTAAAAATACCTATTGTGTCAAAATCTCAGTGGCTCCATCTTCTGGTGATGGGATGGCTGGAGCTCTTTGCACAGGTTCCTCCTGTGGATGACTGGGGTGGGGCATCACAGCAGGATCAGCAGACACCTGATCTGGCCACAGTGGCTGCAGTGTGGGAAACCTGAAGACCTGGGTGTGAAAAGAGTGAGTGAGACTTGAAAAAGAGGTTGGCATAGATCATGTATGGCTGGGACCACCTGGCTGAGGGATGGGTCCCTGATCATGGGGGCCTGATGACAACAGGGAGCTCTGGGAGGGTTTTAGGCAGACAAGTACCCCAGTCAGCTAAGACCTGAGAAGCCCCCACCCCCATATATTAATACATACACTTCTGCACCCGAAAGCACCTGAGCCAGAAGGACAGGGTCTTGCCTTATGGTCACACAGCAATGCCAGAGTGGCCACTGCGGCTGCACCTGCACCATCTGAACACCCAGACACCCTCATGTCAGGAAAGCCTGTGCCGCGCCCCCCCTTCCACCGCCAACCCCCACTCCTTTCCACTTGGGCAGGAATTGCTCTCCCTACTTGTTAATGAGGGTGCTAGTTGTCACCTAAGGTGTTGGTTGTCATCCAAGGTGTTAGCTGCTAAGGGCCTCACACTCCTGGGCTCTCAGGAAGTACTCAAGGCCCCCGTGGCAGAACGCTCTGATGGCGGAGCAGGAAGCTGAGGACTGGGA